TCTATCGTATGCTTAATTGTGACGGGATAATCTGCAACCAGAAAATGAAGTTACACAAACGGATAAATTAGTGGTTCCGTCTACTAGCCTCCGTTTGCACGTATCGGTGAGTAGATTATGGTGTTGTAGAAGGTCCATACCAATGATCGGCATAGAAACAAGGAAGATCCAGTGTATGGGTTTGCTTAAACCCAAGTTAAGGTAGACGTACCTTTTACCGTATGTGGCGATAGGCTTTCCATTTGCCGCCTGTAAGTTTAAAACCTATTCGTGAAGCCGGTCATTAGAATTCACTGGAAGAGCGCTAACCTCTGCGCCAGTGTCGATGAGGTAGAGAACTCTCGTTGCCACATGTGTGACGTATAACAGACGGCTATGTTCGCCGGCTATGGTTGCCGTTAACGCGTGCTGACTTGGAAGTTTACCGACTTGTTTTTCGAGTCAGTCGGTTTCGTGTTGGGAAAATTGAGGGGTTTTCTGCAATTCCTGGAAGACTTTCCAGCACCAGTCGGGATTATCCGTCTCTCGTGGTCTAGAGACAGATCGCTTACGTGAAGTGCTTCTACGTGGGGTGTGTGAGTGCTCACGGTCGTTACGAACATTAAGATAACGCGTGAGTGTATGACATAACTCGGTTATGTCATTCTGAGTCGTTTGAGCCTTTTCTTTGACTGAAAATACCTCGGTAGTAGAAGATTTCGTAATTTTTAAAATGCGGTCGACAGATGCAGCTAGCTCGTCTAAGGCGTTGTTCTGAAACGAGACCAGAACTGCTTGCACCTGTTGAGGAAGTTTAGATAAGAAAAGTTGTTTGAATAGACCTTCGTTGAAAGTTCTTAGGCCTATAACCTCTTTCATCCTTTGCAATATGTTCGTCGCAGAACTGTGTTGCAATTCTATGTTATTAAAGAGTTGGTCTAACCTTTGTCAATCGATTAGGTCTCCTCGTTTAAGATCCGAACGCTCTAAGGTTTCGTACGGTTCAGAAACATCACTAGTAAACATACTAGGTGTTACGTACCTGTTGAATTCGCGCGGAAGTGCCTTGAATACTGCGAGGAATTGTGGACGTGTGCCGGTCACGATGTCGTCTGACCAGAAAGGCATCAGTTGAAACGAAGGTGGGGACAAATTCTTAAGCTTGAGTACTTTGGGTGTCTGTTCAGTCGTGATGAAATATGAAGTACGAGAATGAACGAGGGAAATATATATATATATATATATCCAAAAACGAAAGAAATATCGCAATGTATAAAAAGTTAAAATAAGGCAATAATATGTAGAATCCCAAAAAGGAACAAACTCACCGTTGGGATTTGGTGTGCCAGATCACGTTAAGCTCACCAAAGAAGATGTCACAGGTATTTGGAGTTTGACAACGCTTTAACCAGTAACACCTTCTATATGAAACGTACCCATCAAGTGAAATCAAAAGACAGAAGCGAGAAGGTTCGAAGATATATTTGGTAGGCTATCAATATATCGAGAATCGTCTGGTCTAATCTGGCTAGCGATTGAAGTAGATGTTGAGCACGGCGTTCCCACTTTTGGTCTGGTGCGGATGCATGACCGAGCGCCTTCAGCTAGGTGATTCCACTAAAACATATGGTCAGTATCCAATGTCGAAAACTTACAGAGCTATTTATTTTGGGAATTTATTTACCGCTACAAGTCTGTTCCTCCATAGTGAATGTAAAGCAAAGCGAGGAACGAGGAAAAAATATCCGAAGATATCAAAGTAATGTCACAATATGCAAAACAGAAAGTGGAGAAATGGTGTGTAATGCCTCAACAAGGAAAAGACTCGGTCTACGAATTGGTGCGCCAGATCACATCATGCTTACCACTGAAGATACCACAAGTATTCGGAGATGGTGGAGATTTGCAGCTCAAGTGGGTGATTTGGACGAAGTTCTGTTCTTCAGGAGGAAGTTTGCGCTTATGATGTCGTTCAGAAGAACGATGAGGGCTCCACAACAAAACCATCCAGCTCAGAGAACAGAACTCCATCAAGTATTCGGAGTTGGACAACCCTTTTGACGTAACATTTTCATAGTCGGAATATGCCAACCCAGTCAACTCAGAAGCCAGAAATGAAGGGATTAGAAAATGCGTTTGAAAGGCCATGGACATATTGAGAAGAGTTTAATCAAGCTGGCTAATGGTTGTAAGAGTTGCGTAGCATGAAGAAGTATACTTGTATGTGCTTTGTTCAGAAGCAGTTTAAATGTGAATTTTAAATTGCCTACAGTTAAGTTACCCAGAATTTCCATATGTTTGCAGATAACCGTATTTTTCTAAAATGTCTGCCACTTTTGTTTGACTCAATCACTGCTTGATGCTTTCATATTCTCGATCGTCTTTGTGATCAGCTGATAAGCTCTTAAGGTTTTCTTCCGTCGAAGGGCCTTCACTTTACGAAATAGGTCAGTTTTAGAACTAAATGGATTTCAAAGCTTATCAAAGGGTGGTTCGTGTAAATATAGCTAAGGACTTGGACATTTTAAGTTCCTTTGGTACTAGTTTGTAACTCATAGTGGCTTCCGTCAATTATTGATTCGATCTAATCCGTATAAATATCTCATTAAAACCGAAACACCACGCTTCCATGATTTACACAGTAATACTTCATATACCACATAGCTTTTTATTTGTAGGAGCTCTTCTATTCACTTATTGTAGTGCCGAAGCGTAATGCAATCTGATTCGTAGTTTTTCTTTCCACTCTTATCAAAGCTTCGTTAAAAAAAAGGCGGTTTCACCTCTCAGAGCTCCCACGCAGCCTCACTTAACAAGCCTGATAATTTTTCTAACCTTTGTCTCCCATCTGGTTCTAGATTAGGTGAGTAGTGTTTTGCTACTTTAGTGAAGATTAGTCATATCAAAATAAGTTGGCCTTTCACGTGCTAACTTGAGGTTAGTTTGGAAAACAGATGTAAGAACAGCGCTGATTTTCAGTTTCTAAAACTTTTGAGGCTTATATTGTCTCCACGGTCAACAATATGTATTCATGAACATTGTGGAATGTCTTGTATAATCATGGCTACAATACTGGTCATTAGCATCCTTTCGTCGCCTCAAGGATGAGTCCATGTACTCAGTACATGCTTAGCACAATCATTATACGGATATAAAGTTTCGTGCTTGTATTACTTACATCGGCCACCAAAAACCCTTTTCTAGTGATCTATGTCAATAATGGAATCTGTTCTCATAATCTCTTAATTTACTTCAGTATTAGGAATGGAACTATTCTCATACTTGAAGGAGTCCACTCCTGTACAACATCATTGAAAATAAGAATAACATAATTTTCTAATTGAGACAGTTTCCGGTTGGAATTTAAAAGTGTTGCTGCAACATGATCTCCATCCGTCTGAACAGTCTACATCAGTTCTAAATGACTTTTACTTGCTAAAATGTTCACTATAATATGACTAGCTCTATATCTGTGTAAATTATGGTAATGCATTTGTGTATACTTTACGATTAGTAAGGTTTAAAAACTGAATGACCTGAAATCTGCGGTTGTTGTAAGAAGTATGAGGACCATGATGTTAGGTAGTGACTTCAACACCTTTGTTATTATGTAAGCAAACTTATTTTTGTGCGTCACCTCTACCGTTTATGAGTAAAAGTGACCATTAAAAAGTCTTTTTTGCCACTGTAATTAGTGATCCAGCATTTCGATTAAGTTGTGTATCACAACTAAAGTAATTTATCGACATATCGATGGTTTTGCTGAGGAAAATTACATATATTATTATAGAAAACATTGGTAGTTCGATAAAACGCCAAAATAAATTCAAGTTAGGTATTTGAAACAGATCCCTTTTATAAATTTAAATGATACGATAAGCCGAGTTCAATGCAAGAAATAGGAACGATTGCCATATTTTCTTTCAAAAGCATTATTATTTTGACCTGTATAGTGTCCTTTGTAAGACAAGTGAGTCAGTCAGCTACAACGTAGGACCAGACACACATGCATCGGTCCAAGTTGCCAAACCGCATTAGCACAGCAAAATAAACACCGGATTCATAGGAGTAGTTGAGTCAATGGTGGCAATATATAAAAGAAAGATTGCATATAAGGATATAGTACATGAAGAAAGAAATAGTTTGTAGAAAGAAAGATATGAAGCGATTTTAATCTCTTAGTTGAAGAGAAGACAGAGAGTTTATACACCTACGCCATTGTGATCGATTCTGAGTCATGTCACCAAGAGTCTCCAACCATTGGTCACGATAGTCGCGTGGACTCCAACCAAGTAGTCTGCATCTATCAACATGGCTCAGACTAGAAGTTAGTGACTTCAAGCACTGATTCCGCGTTTTGGTTTGGCCGGCCCCTAACTTCCTTCCAACCATCTCCAACACCGGTTAGCATTGCACGTCGTAGTAAACAGTGTTCAGGCAACCATCTCAGTCGATGAAGATTCACAACCTCATCAACTGATTTACTATCATTCCCTAATACCCTGTGTTTAATCTTATTATTACTTGCCCGGTGATCCCAGCAGATACGAGCAATATTTCTAAGACATCTGTGGTCAAATACTAGTAGTTTACGAGTATCTTCAACTCTTAATGACCATTTTTCGCAGCCGTAAAGTAAAACAGAACGAGCTGCCGCGCAGTATACTCGTCTTTTTATCGATAGACGGATATCTCGCCTCCGCCATAGGTGATGTAAGTTGGCAAAAGCCAAACGAGCTTTTCGAACCCGTGCTGAGATTTCGTCAGACACCAAGTGAAAATGGCGTTGTATGGCTAGATATTTCGAATACGGTGTAGTTTAGTTTCAGCGACCAAAGTGAGATATCTTTATCTACGTATGCGACTGTGATGCTAAGGGGGCACATTTATTTTACTGATGTTACTTAAAGCGTGTCATGACCATTGTGCTGCTTTATGTACATATGATGTAGTCTTAATGTTTTTTTTGTTATAGATTGAGAGTATCACACCTGGCATGAGCGGACCACAGTGTGTTCCTTATGGCTGGTAAACGAAGAAGATCACATAAGTCTTCTAAGGTTTTAGATTCTGAGTCTGCAAACAAACGGTAAGGACTTTTTGAAGTATAATCCTAGTGAATCATTTTAGGTTTATTGGTAACACTACATCGCACAACAGTTCCGTAAGTATTTGAATTTGTACACTTCCGATCTTCATTTTATCAATAATCTAAAATTATTGCTCTTCTGTAAGTCTTACATAGGTGTATATTACTTCGTATCAGGGATGAAATAGTATCAAGTTGTCGTATGTCTTATTACGTTTGTAGATTAATTTTTTTAGTAACTCCGAATTTATGTAAAAACAATCAATAGATTTGTAACAGGTACCTAGCGACGTATTATGTAAACTTGGTTTCATACACTACACTTAATGAAATGAAAATATTATGAAGGAAGAGTAGGAGAACAGTAATATAAAGTAGAAGCAATACGAATATGATTTACTGGAAATATATAATTTAAATAAGAAAACACTTTTCATAGTGAAATGATTCAAATATTTGTAGTTCTTTGTAACGAGGTTATTTTAAGTGAAATCACCATCGGAAATTATTGATAAAAACCCATCAAGATCTGTGCTTTGTAGTAATCTCAAGTCTCACTTGAATCTCCAATCTTAACTAAAATTTAGGGATTGAGTGCCGTAATGTTTACTAAGCTTTGATGTAGCTTAAGTAGGCAAACGGTTAATGTACATGTTTTTCTACGGAAGCTAATAGTTTGAAATCAGAATTTTCGTGTTAACTGACATGACAGAAGAATTATATCAGCTCATGGTTGAGACTCGTCACAAAAGTGATAATTTTTTATTTTGATGTTAGTTAATAGTTGAGAGTCTCTTGGTAGCACTATGACCTAATAGCTTACTCATAAGTTCCTGAGTATTTCAATTAAATATTACTTGTTAAACTGAGATATCAATTGTTATATATTGATTGAAGATGGTTCTCACAAACTGGTCATTTTTATTGAACATTCTGACATGTGGGAAAATTTCTTTTTCTTTTCCTTGTGAAGTATTCCATTCTGTACCTATGCACCTTGTCAATGATGTCCTAGTTGATGATGATATTTTTACTTGTAAGCTGCCTTTCTGAGCTTTTGGAGTATGACGAGTGATTGGGACACATTTATCGAGGTTTGACGTCGTCGCGTTTGCGTGTTTTCTTTCTAATTAATCACTATTATTTCATTGAGATTATGTTATAACTGGGCACCTTTGTAGATTACTTTCTAGACTATACAAGTAAGGAAAACGTTTGAATAGCAATTTTCCATTATTTGCCTCTGGTACTAAACTTAGTTGAATTTGAAGAAATAGCCCATCGCTATTAATAACCTCGAAGTTGTAATGGTGTACATATTTCAATATCAGTTACTAGTTTTTACCACTGCGAGCTCCTTACTGAACTTCATTGTATCCAAATCTTATGATGTGAATTTTGATTGAATCTGTTCTAAAATATCTGACAAAGTCAAGTCTAATTTTTAAGTTTGGTCTGAGGCAATTTAAGTATCTCGAGTTGAGAATCGAGATTATTCACATGTGTATTTAGCACACCTGGTCAGTATACTGTTTTCTGAACTATTTTACTATTTAATTTTAGTGCTCCGAAAATTCAGGTATTTCAACCTGCTATCTTCATAGTCAGAACCATCCAGTCTTACGTGCTTCTGAGCTATCTGAAGACAGCAGTACAGCTCCATCTAAAGTGACTGAGACACAAGACTCAGTTTCCTACACATCACCCATTTCCAAAATAAACCGAGCCAAGTATAATTTTGTACAAAATAGACACATTACTAGTAGATTGAGAAGATTATCGGAAGCCTCTTCGCCCACTTGTACTGTCCAAGAAAGTTCAGTCTCTGAACAGACAAAGAGTTCAGCAAATAGTACGACTCAGTTGAGTTGTCAGTCAAGCACCCAGATCGGACGCAGAACTACTAAAAGGAGTTTGCATTATTCTGAAGATATACCATCTTTTTCCCAAGATAAATTAAGAGCTGCTAAACGCCAGCGTCTGTCTAGTTCAAAAGCTCGGTAAGTAAGAGAATATTTGTGGTTCACTAGTTTTAGGCTGCATAATTCAGAACAAATCCTCTTTCAATACTCTGTACTTGTTTTTTCACAAATGCTTAAGCGCCTAGATCATTTCAGGTCATTTTGCTCATTAAAGTTCTCTTATATTTTGGAAACCCCAGGTGGAATATTATAAATCGATACTGAACAGTGAAATTCATCGATCCACTTTACCCACTATTTCTAACCGTTAATAATGATTATTGTACAGATCTCGATCAAGAAGTCTGCACTCCTCCACATAGGTCAGATTCCATAGAATGATAGTGCATCTTGGTTTAGCGCATTTCTAACTACATGATACGTAAAACTTTCGAAAAGGTTTGCTTAGTAAAGTCCCTAGTTAGAAGTACAGCGTTTACATGAAGCTACTGACAAATATGATATAAGGAAACCCTGGTCTCAGTCCTGATTTCCAACTGATTTGTTTGCTCCTTCATAAATACCTAGCTTCATTCTTAACAGATCAGAAAGTGTATTGATAGTACTTAGCTATCTATTTTTTGTTTACGGTTTTGTATGGAGCGATGGGCTAGTGGTTAAGGCGTTTCAATATCGGCCACTCAGTCCCACCTCGCCCCGCCTACTTCATTTTGTTTGGGTGGATAGTATCATTAGCCCTCACATTTAAAGTGTGCTTATACTCAACTACCTGAGAAATGAGCGAATCATATTATATTGATGTTCTAGGCGTGTGTTTTCTGACGCACACTTTTCTAATTAAATCTTTTCTTAGTAGTAACAATGGTACTTGATGAGATTAATATCACGTGATTGTCTAACTTATTTGCAGTAATATTTTTTCAAAATGCTTAAAATATTTTGCCGTTAGATTAATAGCTTTTATCAGGCAGAAATCGATCTGATTACTTAGCTTGATTCCTCATATTTAAAGTTTTGTATGACCATTCATTCATCTGGTGGCTATATTATTTTATCATTTACTGAATACTAAGATTAGTTCAGAATACAATGATATGTTTTTATAGTCTACTTTGATGAAATATCTTTCCACTGATTTTTTGTTCATCAACTTATTGTGTTTTATGCACACTTCTCGTTTTCATTAAGTATATCTTTGTTTTGGTGATAGAAACCCTGGCGACTGTCTATCTGTTAGCCTGTTTGTTTTACTTCTGTATATTTTTTTACGGCTGTTAGGCAATTAGGAACCTACCATAGTAGTTCGTCATATTCAAAGTCATCTGATCGGAAACGGCACTCACTCGCTTCCCCAGGAACTGCTCATATATCTCAAAATTTACCGCATACCGCCACGGGTCTATTTATGAGCAAAAGATCGTAAGTTTGTTGCTGCTGTTTTATTTTTTCCTGGCGTGCTTTCATGAACTCTTTTTTAGCACATAGTTGTTTTCCAAAAAGGCACATCAGGAGTTGTATCATTAGCTTTACCTTGTCTAATTTTTGCAAGTTTTTAAATACCCTTATGTATTTTTTCATTATGATTAGTGGAATTTCCATAAAAGTATGTAATTAATCGAAATATTTTGATGATTTTCACGATCTGTTTGAAACTATTCCTTCTAGATTATCTAGTATAGCTGACGGACGTTTTGTTAAACGTTCAATACATCATTCATTTGTAGCCTTAACGCATTCTTTCACCAATAACTATATTCACTTGATATGGTTTGAACGTATATTATGTGTGGGTTTATTTAGTTAAGAAAGTTAACTTAATAATACAGTCTCATTTCCAAAGTTAATCATAATTTCTTATGGCAAAATCATTATTTCTCTTTAGCAAGGTATAAATCACGTAACATTAATGGACCAAATCCACTAAGCGATGTCGATAGCTTTGGATAAGTTTTATTTACAAAATCTTCCCACTTTACAAAAGTTCAGTATTTCAGTTCATTTTTACAATAAGTGCCAATTGGTTCTCGTTATTTTGAAGATTCGATTTCTTTGATTTTTGACCGGGAAAAGAGTCACATTCCGTAATGTGCATACGTTTAGAATAAATACATATATTTACTGAAGATTTCTGCACTCAACCGGCTCTTATTACTAGTAGTGAGTCTGGATAATAAATAAAGCCTTGAAATAACTGTTTTGGAGATTTTTCTCATTACGGACTTAGAATTAGTTAGGAAACTTAAAAACTATAAGACAAACTGGGACAACTCCCTCACTCTAGTTTGAGACTCCTGACTTATGGGCACTAACGTCCTCCTCTAATTCTTTTGTGAGAATTACCCACCGCTACTGACTGTTAACCGTCTCACTCCTGATTCGGTTGAACTTCACCGGTCACAACTTACAAAAAGATTTTTAGGGCTGAATAATGGAGTTCAATGCCTAATTTTCATAACAATAAAATATTTCATTTCGATTACTTGTTTTTTGTTCTCATGTTTGTAGTAAAGTATAAATTATTTCTAAAGTGTCTTTGGCGGAAAACTGACTCGTTCAAATATAAAATCTTATTCAGTTATGATGCGAACAGTTTATTCAAATTGAAAACTATGACGTGTTTGTTGTAGGTTTTTAACACTCATGGAAACTGATTGTTTATCTAATGTCATGCGTTACACATATAATGTGTAGTCATCTAAAACTTCTTGTCTTTCGGCTTTTTGGAAACAGTATTTGACATTTAATACAACCAAAAGGATAGAAAACATTTTTCTGAAAAGTCTACTAAATTCTAATTAACGTTTTGTAGTGTAGGTTTTTCGGGAACATCACCACGATATTAATCCATTTCATACAGTAAATTAGTAAATTAACTCTACTCTCGCATTTTAAGTACTTACGTTCGAATTTTTTTTAGTAAATCTAGTTAAAATAGAGTTAAACAGCTGAAACATGTCTCATTGGTTCAAGTCGTTAATCAATAAACCCAACTAATGATGTGATTGGTTTTTGTCATGCATAATTTATAGCGAAAAACCTTGTCTGTCCTCTCACATTCAATATAAACCAGTCAAGTTCTTTGTCCTCATAACGACGCAATTTATTCATGTGGCTATACATTTGTTAGTATTACAAATAAATGAATGTTATTTATTTATTTATTTGTGAATTAATACTAGTACAATAGTTTTAAATAATGTTGATGAATTGAGTCTAACGCCACGATAACGCTTTTGAATTCCTGGAAATTAAAATTTTCACATTTGTAAGGCTAATCCAAAATTTATATCTTCACGAAAAAAAGTAATGTATTCAGATATTTGTAGCGGTCCCGAACTCAATACAAACCTTCATAAGGTGATTAGAAAGGTAAATCTTTTTACGTAATCACAGCATATGTTAATCTACTGATCAGCACCTCTTAGCTTCTATATTTAGAATTTTTTAGCATCATTAAATTGTAACTTGATATAGTTAGTAAAATCATTTAATAATCGATCACTACGGTATTTTACTAGTAAATGGAAAAACAAGAGAATAACATGGATTACCATATTATATTTGAGTTGAAACTACATAGAAGTGTTTATCTAGGAAAAGAAGTTTCTTTTTGTATATTAGTCGTTGATTCATTCTACATCTTTACATAATGGTGTTTTTTGCAGGATCTCTGAAATCCGTTTGTTGTATTTTTTTATATAAAGCAAATGATTTAAAATCCATATATTTCTAATGAAGGTGAAATAAAAATAGATATTTGAGTTAATAACGTAAATCTGTTAGTAGCTTTTAGTTGTAGTTTTTAAATTAAAAAACATCCTGTTGCATAAACTTTGATAGATTAGCAAGAAAAATAAATAGAAAAGTACGCATTGTAATGTTTATGATCTCATCAGTTAATTTTCTCGTTCTCCTGATCAATCAGTTAAGTAGGTATCTAACGTTTTTATGTGTCCCTAATTTTTGTTATATGATTCTTATTATTATACGATCGTTTTAATAACGTTTGGGATGTGAAAATTACTGTAACTTAGTCACTACGCTTAGGGCGTAACCATAGTCTTAATCCATGTGACTCATTGTGTTTTTTATTCGTTCCCTTCCCTTTTCTTTCTCTCTCATTTCAATTTATTTATAAATAAATCTGACGATGAATGTTTTATACTAATTTGTTCTCTTGTGTACAATCATTTTTTGATATAATATTCTGTTTAATCCTACATACTTTGTCATCATATTAGTATACATAAATTCACTTGTTAATCATACTAATGATCGTCTAATATTTTGTGGACTTACGATTTTATGACCAATCACCCTTAAATTTTCCTACCAGTTTCATGATTGAAAAACACTTTTTTGTATCACTTAGACGTCGCGATCGTCAGCGGTCTGTGACTTCTATGACGGTGACAAGTTCATCTACCATAAAAAACACGAACACTGGAGACAATGTGTTCAGTACAAACACCTCAAATTATCCCATACATTCAAGTCTTTCAGCTGCCCATTGTACCGGAGAAAAGACTTTGCATTCTCAAATACCCTATGTTCAGTTACCTGCTGATTCCTGTCCTCCGCACTGCTCTCAAGGCGTTATGATTTCTAATGATGTGATTGTCTCGGAACATGTTGGAACTATGGGATTTCCCAGTACTGATCTACATCAATCTGTCAATCCTGAGTCAAATGTCCCTTTTTATGTTGTTCAGAAAAGTGCTTGTGCGCCCAATGAAACTCAAGATCCTAATCCTCGATCACTTAATCAACATTATTATATAGTTCCTGATCTTTCTCGCCCAACAGAAAGTAATAAAACTTCATCTTCTGAGTTCAAAAGTTCCTGTATTTATTCCAATACTATCCAGCTACGTAGCTCAAAGGATGTAACAGTTACGAAACAAGAAAGTAATAGGAATTTTAGTCATATTCCAATTGACCTGACAACTAATACACTGCATAACCAAATGCCTATGCCATTGGATTCATCCTCCCAACCTATTCAGTTAGGATTGCCAGTTTGGTCATCTGTAGACCAGCTAGAGTCTCAGACAGCTTTCACAACATCATCCAGCAGTGTAATGATGGCGTCATCATTGCAAAACTCATCAAACTACCGCAAAAGTGAGTCAATGTTAACTAAAATTAATTTTTTCAGGAAGTAGATTCTGTTATTGAGTAAGAATCTTGATTTATGTTAAGCGAATTATTGTTTTATATTACGAAAGATAAAAATTAGGTTTAAATAAACTGAATATGGGTTGATTAATAAAGCTTTGCAATTTATCAGTAATCTCGCTTAGTGTAGTACTGTTTCCCATGGTCGACGAAATTGTTTTCTAAAAGCATCTTTCTTTCAGTAACCAAATTCAACCAATTAGTGTGTTTAAAAGAAAGAAGTCATTTTAGTAACATAGTGGTTAGGTACTACCAATTCAATCCGAAATAAACATGAATTTGTTTATCATGTAAAATATACGACCTGCTACACGAAATTAGTAATTATTTCTATACATGTGGACTCAATATACTCTAGATGACAGTATCTACAGTCATTTTATCGGGCCCGTACTAAACTAAAAACGAATTATTACTGTTTAACTCTATGTCACTGTATGCGATATTTTTGTGTACACTTATCAGTTTCCTTCGTTGTACCAATAATATATAACCTCATATTGCATAATTAGCTTACTATCTGGATTATCCCCGTTATATTATGCGGCCGCGGTGACTTTGTTCCTGTGTGGTTTGGTAATGTGCTTCTCTCGGGATTATCACTATCGTCATATTCTTTATTTGCGTTATGCTTCTGGAAAGTTGTCTTTTGTTATCGGAAACTGATTGGACATATGCTGATTCAAAACTACAACATCAAAGCGATCGCTTCACCAGTATACACTTTTTGATTAGTTCTAACTACTAAAAGCACTTACTGCATGTTCGTAGTCATAATTTTCACGTACATCACTATTTAATTTGTTAGTTCCGAGCCATTGTTTCTTTTGTAACATTTCAATTTTACATTGGCGTCATTATTATATATCACTTATAAATATATAGAACATCGGACTTAGCACAAGTATTCATCAGTCGTATTTCAGTCCAATGCATTCAGGAAAAGTAATTCCGACAATGTTAACAAATTTAAAGAAAATCGATAAAATAGTACTATGAAAAGTATGAGATAGTACAATGTTTGGAAATTAGTGGAGAATTAGAGATCAGTGCACGCGCAGTACAACGTACGCTTTTAATCAATATAAACTAAAGTCTCTAGTCATTAAGTTACTGTTAATCTCTGAATATTAACGCAGGATGTCTTCATTTCTTATATGATACAAAATAACAATCAATAACTGTATGAAATAATATCGTTTCTCAGTCATCATGTGTTTTTAATTATTTACTAAGTACATGCAAATGTAAACAATTTAGATCCACATTTCATGGCCAACCTATTACTTACTATACTAGCGTTTAAGCAAACACTAATGGACATGAATCGCATATGCTGTTCATAAACCCGCGTACCGCATCTGTGCATTATTTTAGTTTAATTAGACATGAATGATAAATTAGAAACATTTATGGCCGAATACTTACAGCTTACAAGTTTCTTACTTTCAAAGCTCATATTTTGCACCAGCAACTGATAAAGTCACGGAGTTTTTACTCCGACTCAGTAAAAATATTAGTTTTATAGGAGTGGCATCAGAATGACTTTTATTTATCTATACACCATAGTAGTCAATATACTTTGAAACAAGTCTAATATTTCCATGCAACTGTTCTAAGTGCGAAGTACACTTTATTAAATAATTGTTATCCAGATGTTTTTGAAAGTAAATTGTACTTCGTTTGCTCAATTTATCCGACTTCAGTGTGTTGACAATTTTGCAAAATTCTGTTTTAAAGTGTTCATTGCCTAACTATTCACAAAGATGTCCTAGTGTTTTCTTTTTAAAAGACTACTATCTTATGTTTAGTTTTTAGATCGCTTCGCGATCTCGATAACGTTCAACAACTCCTACAAACCCTACTAACTGTAAATCTACGTGCTTAATAATACGGCATAGTCCTTACACTTATCAGTCTACATTTTGATCCAGTTTACTGAGGAGTATTCCGAATAAAGTTGCTTGTAACTCAAATAGACACATTATTTATCACTTAGATTCTACCTTATGCTATTTTATACTGAAAAATATGAACTTAACCCTTTAATTATAAGGTCACTCAAGCTGATTTCATAATTTTTAAAAAAATGAAATTAACATATTCCGTTAGGCACATTTTTTCTAATTATCACTGTTTTTCTATGCGAGGTAGCTAAAGCGAAATTGATCAATGCGAAGTATAACACAACCATAACTGATGGGTTTTTGTTTTTCTGAGAAAAGATTATTCAATTGTATCTAAGTGGTAGTTTAATTATTTTTTCTCACAAAGTATCTCTGGTTTTATGGATTTTTTACGACGTTTATACCTTTCTCAGGAACTTTGGAACCATTTACTCCAGCTCAAAGTTTTTACCCTCCAACAACTGATTCTCCTACAACTTATCGTATCCAAACTGATCCCAAATATTCCACTGATTCAAACATAATCCCCATGTTACCGAACTCTTGTTCCCCATTTTTAGTTTCGCCTGGTACATCAGCAGCAGCAAACCATCCAAATGCTATACAGCAACTTTTAAATCCAATCAGTGTCGCTCGTTTAATTGCACTAAACCAAACAATGCATTCGAATACACACTACCAAAAATCTTCCCAGTCAGAACATCTACAGTCTGCACTGTCTACTACCTGTTTAACATCATCCTTCCATCCTACAGTATCCGGTTCCTCAGGAAAGTACTCTCGATATTCACCTCACACTACTCATTCTGGATCCGCTTCAACTTCAAAGTCTGTTGTTTATACACGCAACCATTCTAACACATCAGAATGGTCTAATCCAAAAACGAGTGCTACTCATAGCGGATATCGCAGCCCACATAGTGATGGTATCAATCATCGAATAGCACAGCTACAACAAGCTTCAACTGATAGATCTATGCAGTTGATCATTTTGCAAGATATAAATCAGGTGAGTCATTGGTTGACTGTACAATGGTTATGCTTTTTTCGATAAATTCACTTCGTCAAACATTAAAGGTTGAAAATGAAAGACTATCTTTTAGCAAAACGTCTACTTATTCTTTCATTATTTTGTACATAATAGGTAATACTACTGTTGTAACATTAAAAAATGTGTTTAATGCTTGCATTTATTCAACGGGCGAAGGGTTATACATGGATACCGATCCAGTTTCCTTTGGTTTTTCGTTACTTTTCACTTTTACGATCCCATAATTAATTGTATGTGTAATTTTACCTTCCATCAAAGTTGCCTTGATAACCCTCTACCCATTCTTAAACTTCGAAACAAACTGTCTACGAGAGCATACTTAGAAAAGACAAGTTATTTTGAAATTATTCGTCCCCTCAAAAACACCGTAGGAGGGATATTGAAACTAGTTTTGTCTCTGACTTAGTTGTTCAACATTCGACTATCAGGGTGAAAGGGGATTTACTTAATATGAATTTAATCTGTAATCGTATGGCTTGTATTAGGGTTTAATTGTCTCGAATGTCTAATCTGTTACTGTATGTTGGTGCTTCTTCATCAAGTGTTACAGTTACAATAAACTTTTTGCATTGTGGTGTTCTCACTTTCGTGTTATCCTATCACTACTTCACTGTATTTCATTAGACTGTTATCGTCCGTGTGTTCAAAGTCTTGGTACAATGCTGTCTGTGTGTTTTTATTGAATGCACTGTAAACTTTATTCATACTCACTTTCAGCGTTAGAGCTTTCATATGTGTGTATCGGAGAATTAAACTTTACTTATTCTTCGTTTGTCTTCAGCTTTTAGACATGAAACCATTGATTTTTTGCCTTCGTGTTGTTAGGACCACTTTAACCAATCAAATTTCATCTTACAAAGACTATGTAGTTATGCATCAAGTTTAGTTTTAGAAGCAGTGGTCAGATTCACATACACAATTAATTATCATTTTATCTCAGATTTATTCTTTACTTTTCTTTTTGCCTTATTGTTCTATTTGCTGGTTTCCTCTATTTATATCAATAATTTATTTACCTCACTATTTCTAAAACGAATCACGTCATATTATCGTACAGTGATTTTAATTAATGTATATAGTTTTATCTGGTAATTTATTCGCACTTATTGTTAGTAATACTCATCAATCAGTCCACATTGTAGAAATTCATTGCTAAAATCTATATTGAAATATTCAAATATGAATTATGCAAATAGAAAATATGCTTATTTCACTTGTTAATTAATTTGTTTTTATTTATTTTATTATTTTATTCGTTAGATTCTGTTAATGGATTTTGAAGAGAATTTAGCAAATCTAGATGTCAATAGTTTGGTTAATTGTGTTCTGCAAATTTTAGAATCACAAGAAGAACATTTAGTTGAATTGAAAAATTTAAGTTGTAATGTTTTAACGCATATGATGGATGTTTTACCACGTAGTTCAGATTTTATTGTTCCAGCTTTGCCTATTCTACTCACAACTATGTCTTCCAGTTTTGTTGGTGATATTTTAGAGAGAATAATTAATTTATTAGAACAAATATCACGTCGTCACGGAAAAGAAGTACTAAAATCTGGTGGCGTTTCTGTAAGTTCAAGTTTTTCCTAGTAATAATTACATTATGTAATTCATTACGTTATAGTGCATATAAATCACCATGACCTTAAGGTTAAAAGGAAAGGAAAAAAGAATTAACATGAAATGCACTAAATAGTTGTTTTAGTTGAGAAAAAAAGCAACACTGAAAACATGATCATCTGTACGTTTATTATGAAGTTAGAGGGTAATCATTGACTTTTTCTAAGTACAAATCAAGTTTCAACTTCTCGTTTGCTTATGGCCTGTAAAAATCTTAGCTTGCTGAAAACTAACTGTTTTAATTCATTTGCCTCTCATTCTGCATTCAATGGATGATTTTATTTCTGGGAATGTGTTCAGAATTTCCTGTGTATGCTCATATCTCTCTTCGTTCACCATACTGGTTTTTATATATAAATGCAAATTAATAGATGGGATTAAAACTAACGTGTTCAATTTTGTATGTATATCACTTATAAATGGATTAATTTTGCTACAACAAGTATTCTATTTAGTACATCCTTGGATTTTTGGCCAATGTTGCTCGCAGTTTAACCATCCTTCAAAACGAGTTAGCTGAATACCATTTTCTTCCATAGATTTTTCCACTTCAGTTCATGTACACTATCCGTGTTCATGTTTCGTTTTAAACCTTACAAAGCCATCATTCTTTTAAATATTGGTCTCCATCGTCATTTATTTTGTCCAAATCTCCGTCATGTATCCTATGATTGAATGATTTCATCAAATGAAAACTAAGTACTCCAGGGTATCACTTGATTTAAGTCATCTTTTGATAACTAAAACAACCTCAAAAATCTTTTTATGTTATGTTCCCAGGATTCATAGATGTGTCTTGCATCTTTGTGTTCAAAGTATTAAAACTCCATTTTATTGCCAGTTACGTAAAGACTTTTAAATATCGTTAAATTTCATTTGTAGTCAAGAAGATAGGAAACTTCACAATGTTTACTACTTGGGATAACACATTTCTTACTACGTATGTATTACGTTCTACTTGACACTGTCTTTGTACTCTTACTCAATAGTAACGAACAGCTTTACTTAGTTTTTTTAAACATACCAAATTACTTTGAATATTTAACTCTCTTGTTTTTTAAATTTTCATTTAGACTGTACTCGGATTTTACGACTTTGTTACCTCAGCACAACATCGAACTATTTTGACAATGGTGTATAACTGTTTCATAAATCTACAACCAGCCGATTACGATTTAATCTCCAACTGTTTACCAACATTAGCTGAACATTTAAAAGAGTCAGAACCTCGTTGTGTTGAACGCGTTTGTAGTTGTTTTGTACGCTTGATTAGTGCTTATCGATTTGAGCCAAATTTACTTAAATGTATTGTTAATAGTTGTAACTTATTAACTAACCTTCAATCATTGGTACGTGTTTATGTTTTTCTGTGTGTTTCATTTTTTTATATTTGTAATTGTGTTTTTTTATAAAAAAATGTCATCCACTAGCTTTTGTAATCGACTTAAGCGTCTTGAAGTAAAGGTTCCTGATAAATGACATCCAATCATGGTTAGTACTTGAGGTTGATCCATTTAGTTTTCAGTCATGATAAAATTATACTGGTCTTCTTTGATCGTGAAATAATACAATGAACAATGATAAACTCTCAGTCATTATGTAGTCTGTTAATCACTCATTGTATTATTTTATTATTTATTGTTATTCGCCGTCAAAAGCACTGATATCAACTGTGTACATCAACACTAATGTATTATTTAATTCGTTCGTTATTCATTACTAAACAGTAAATATACTATTAGAGTCAAATTACGTTATTATTTCAAATTATCTGTTTTGCTCTTGATTTAATTTCCTACAATATTGACTGGATCATAGTTTTTCTTTCAATTGACTTGTAATAATTTTCTAAAAATCACCTTTATACCAATTGAATTTACTATTCATCATATTAATTGAGCGTATTTATTTAACTTTTTACTCTTAATACTATTGTATAAACTATTGTTTCGTCCGTGTCTAGCTCACGTTAACTCCATCGATTTTGTCCAGTATCAATGATGTAATTCAAATATTAGCAACATTATGCTCAAGTTGTCCTGATTTAGCTGTTGATTTAATTAAACAAAGTAAGTTTATATGTATCCTTTAAAATTACACCATAGTCCTGTGTTTACTATTCTGTTGAACAATTCCTATCAACTTCCCAATATATTAACTATTGATTAATGTTTCTATTCAATTAAGCTTTTTATTTTGTATTGTTTTAGGGAGAATGCAGCATAGAATACTATGAAGTCATTGTACTTTGTGTTGCAAACATTATCATTCTTGCTTCCTTTCCAATTTGTTGAAGGAAACTAAAAATGACATGAGATAATATCTCATAAAACCTATGCATACATCTCTTGTACTCTCAATTAGTTATTAATGAAAATCTATTAAACAGATTATCGGATTGTAGTAGCATTGATTAATTTAACTAATTTACATAACATTAGATAATTAAGATTTGTCAAATATATCAGTATGTATATTTGTGTGAATTATCGAAAACATGAAATCCAATCGAATTACACAGGCTGATTAACATATTGCTCGTGTTGGCCAGCAAATAACCTGTCTATAAGACAAAAACATAATATATGTGACTTTATTTTATAATGTCAATTATTTTACTTTCAAACAAAGAAATTTGTTTGCGCATATACAATAATATTACTACTTCAAGCTAAATACGATAAAATTCAGTTAACACTTCATAAAAGGTATAAACATTCTTTGTTTCATTAAAGAGGAAGAATGTATTTATAAAATCTCAGTGAATGAATCTGAAGTAAATTCAACGTTTTACCTGACGAATACTGTGAAACTGTTCAATCACGTTCAGACGATAGTTCTTATATATTCTTTGTTTCGTTTATTTGATACCAATGATAATGACGCGATCGATCATGGTAACAACTTACTTAAGAACATAGAATTTCGTTTGTCGTTGTGTTAATAAATATCGTAAATGATTTTCCTTGTATAACCATATATTTTTGCGAAATTAGTTGTGTTATCTAGTTTTACTTGGCGTTCAAATAACCGTCGATCAATCCTGATTCTGTCATGCAATCAGTTTCCTCCATAAATTTAGTCAAGGCAAGAACGATAGTATTTGAAGAATACGGTTCATGATTCTTATATATCTGTATAATTGTATAATTCCTGACAGTTTTGATAGAATATTGCTTTCAGTTGTATAGTCTATAAACAACTCTATATGTTGGCTGAAATAAAGGCCAAAGTAATGTTTCATAACATAAATAAACTTCCTGATAGTGAATTGTTATATTTTCTCAAAAAGTAAGTGTCATAACTCTGTTACTCTTGGAGAATATTTAGTGATAGAATCGATAATTAGAGTATCTTTCGTTAGAAAATGGAAGTTAGTTACATTATTTGATTATTCAAACCATACTGTGTTTTACAACATAGACATTCATATTTCTGTGGACATAAATTGTCAGTTAAGTAGCTCATCCACTCCAATCAAATACAAGTTACTGTATTTAACTTGGAAATACATGTTTTATCAGAGTTAGGGATGCTTCTGAGCTTTTCTGAAGAGAGTTGGCACAAAGAACTTATAATTTATAGATCTGTAGTTACAAACCTAGCTCTAAAACTACTGTTCTACAACTTCAAACTTATAGCTTCCAGTCGGTCGTCTTTTTTCATTCATATTGTTAATTTCATTACTATTAGTATATTGTTTAAAATCAATATTTCTTTCTTTTCCTTTTGGTTAGATATTTCAAACACTATATATTCTCTTCTATTGGGAGTTAACCCGGAAATCGAAACTGACTGGGCTACTCTAACGTCATGTTTTAATGGTTTAACACTAGCTAGTTTAGTTCCAAATCAATCAACCACGAAACGACTTCGTGCTCGTTCTCATTCTGGTGAATCGTTTAAACCCTCATCTTCATCAACACTGTCAGGTTCTACACATTCATCCAATAAACAATTTGATGTTGGTACCATTTGTTCACCACCTGGCTTATTGCAACAATGCAACAATTTACCATTTGGTTGGCAGTCTTTAATGATTACTAACTCTGCTTTTCTGAATTCTTCCCCATCAAATTCAACAAGTTTATCTATCAATCAAAGAAGTCCAGATGATGTACATTCAATAGTTTATTTGATTAGGTAGATTAAAAGAAATTTTCTTAGATGTTATTAGTGATTCGTTTCAGTTCTTTTAATTATAATACTTGCTAACGTCATTTTATCCTGTTTGCTGTGAAATCAATCTATCTATAACTTAAACGGAAAAAAGCTTGATTCTAGTCATACTATATTGTTTATTGCATTAGACATATTTATTTATTATATACAATGATGAATACTTTTTCTAAGCTCATTTTCATTGTAATTGCTTAGTAAAGCTATCGTATACAATTACTATACTGTTTTTACTATTACTACTACTCACAGTGTCGTCAAAATATCAACAATCTTATCCAAAAATGCAAATTATACTTGGTGATCAATACGTTTTATTTACCAGAATTCATACCTCTAAGTATAAAATTTATTGTTACAAATATGGCAAATAGTTTTATCGGTCAGTGTTTTGCTTTGATACAGACACTTTTAGCTATGTGATACACTTCATCAGAGTTGTCTTGTAACTCTATTAGGCACAGCAAAATAAACACCGGATTCATAGGAGTAGTTGAGTCAATGGTGGCAATATATAAAAGAAAGATTGCATATAAGGATATAGTACATGAAGAAAGAAATAGTTTGTAGAAAGAAAGATATGAAGCGATTTTAATCTCTTAGTTGAAGAGAAGACAGAGAGTTTATACACCTACGCCATTGTGATCGATTCTGAGTCATGTCACCAAGAGTCTCCAACCATTGGTCACGATAGTCGCGTGGACTCCAACCAAGTAGTCTGCATCTATCAACATGGCTCAGACTAGAAGTTAGTGACTTCAAGCACTGATTCCGCGTTTTGGTTTGGCCGGCCCCTAACTTCCTTCCAACCATCTCCAACACCGGTTAGCATTGCACGTCGTAGTAAACAGTGTTCAGGCAACCATCTCAGTCGATGAAGATTCACAACCTCATCAACTGATTTACTATCATTCCCTAATACCCTGTGTTTAATCTTATTATTACTTGCCCGGTGATCCCAGCAGATACGAGCAATATTTCTAAGACATCTGTGGTCAAATACTAGTAGTTTACGAGTATCTTCAACTCTTAATGACCATTTTTCGCAGCCGTAAAGTAAAACAGAACGAGCTGCCGCGCAGTATACTCGTCTTTTTATCGATAGACGGATATCTCGCCTCCGCCATAGGTGATGTAAGTTGGCAAAAGCCAAACGAGCTTTTCGAACCCGTGCTGAGATTTCGTCAGACACCAACACATTAGGGCTGATCAGACTTCGAGACAAGTGTCGAGCGCGTCGACAACTTCACTCCCTATCCTTAGTTTAGGTGTGACGCATGTCAGTCCTGGAGCAACAGCTTGCATTTAGAGGAGGATAAACGCATCCCAGACATCCTGGGTTTGTTGCTCAGTGCTACCAACGCACTGCATTTTATAAGCGTCCTCACCAAACAGGACTATGTCATCTGCGTATTCTAAGTCAATAAGTGAACCTCCTGGTAAAATGTCGGTGCCCGAAAATTCTGTCGACGAGAACGTTATTTGCAGCAGCAGGTCTATGATGAAATCGAACAAAAATGGATATAGTGAATAGCCTTGTTGGTCACCACTTGAGGTTGCAAAATCGCCATAACATCTGATTTGACTGGTAGTGTTCGAGTAAAGAGTCCTCACAAGGTTACTGTACTTCTGAGGTACACCTTTCAATGACAGATACTGTCAAAGAACTCTATTACCATTTATCCGTTCAAGTATGAGTAAGTAGATCATGATAATTAATTCCGAACAATCTGTGAGAAGTACCTTTCTGTTTTAACCTAAAAAAATTACAAAAATGAGGATAAACAAAAGAAACTATAAAAATAATAAAATGAAAGGTGTAGAATAATTAAGCGGTCAATTTTTTGCGTGAACTAAAATAGTCTATTTAGTCATAAGTAACTCATTCATTAACCACCTGGGTATGATCCAGTCTCTAGTTATGGGGAGTTATCATACTACACGTTTGTCCAAACCGAAACGGCGAAAGCGAAGTTCAAACTTGGGACTGTAAGTCGAACGCTTTAACTACGAATTTACCACTTCATCTTTTAACTCACACACCGTCTAGCATTGTTCATCGCAGTCAGTATACGTTATGAGGCATAGGTAATATACGTTATAAAAATTCTGTATATATACTTCAAATTTATTCATAATACAAGTTTGTCCTATACGTTAATAAGATAGTGAAAAGTGAAACAAAAAGTATTATTTTTACTGTGAAATAAATCATCTCTCAAGTAGACTGTTAATAATAATGATGATTAAAACTTTTGTTGTATGTTCAGACTGAGGTAACCGAATTGTTGTTGGGTAAGGAAATCCAATCCTAGGTTAAATGGAAAAAAGGTCACTGATCATATGATTGAATTGTTTGCTCACAAAAGTAATGGTCATTTACGCATAACATAATTAACAAAAACAATATAGCTTGTTGTTACTTATTCAAATAACAACAATCAATCAATGAAAAATAAAAATTGAATTTGTTTAATATTCAGGATAGCTGTACTTGTAATTACCATTTATCAACAAGACTCTATTTGATTATCATTAATAATTTTCCTAACAATTTGCAAATTTCCATTCCAAAAAATCGATGTAGTCAAGCCTAACAATAAACTATGCTTCATTTATAAAGCACATTAATTTATCAGACTGGGAACTCAAAGTGGTTGTGATATGTAGCATCTTTGCTGATTGAGGCATTGACAGCAGTTTATCTGGTCAGTTACATTGATCTTACATGTGTAGAACATTATAAACATTTTGGTTAGAGTTTATCAAATTCCTGAATTCTCTAGTTGTATACTAAGTAATCAATCTGAATAGTGAATACCTTATGATTCTGTTTAATAACCATGATCATTAATTGGAAACGTTCGATGACATTGCCGTAATGATGCAGATACATTCACGCTTTATCTCTTTATAGATATTAAGTTGTTGTATTCCTTCCTATGCACCTATTCATTTCGTCTTCTGAAACTATACTGTCAACGTTTAATCTTTCTGATTATTATCACTGTTACGTTATTCCGATTCCTTTGCTATTCATCTCGTTAATTTTATCTCGTTCTAATGTGTTGTATGGCAACATGAGCTAACTCAAATACGTGTCAGACTCCATGTTAATCATGGATAACTGACTATTCTGTGCTTTACAATTGTCAGTACTAATTTATTGCACTCAAATCTTCTTGTTATTTTTTTCAATATCCTTTCTTGTGGAGTGTGATAATTCGATTTATAACCTACATTACTTATTTCGTTTCTCTGTTGTTTTCTTTTTCACGGAAGCTTATTAGAAATCTATATCATGTTTTATATTTTCAGCGAACTTCTCCCACCAATTTCTAACCAATTCAAATTCTCGACATTATATTCGAATGCATCACAAAAATCCAGTGATTCCACAGTTTCCAATGTACATTTTGGGTCAGGAGTCAATTTGAACTCAATGTTTTCTACTAGTGATTCTGGTTTATGTACTCCGGAACAATTGACTACAGGAACAGTGTTTTTCGCTGACACAAACAACCTTCAGGTTAGTGTAGTGTCATGTTTTAGTTTAGGTTTTTCTTCCATTTCGATGTAATTATTATTGTATTGTTTTTTTTTAAATCTAACTCATTGCCTTACCATTATTATTGTTATTATTATTTAGCTATTTTCCTTTCGGGAGTGGCAGGACACCCTGGACCCAGACTTTTCACTAGTTGATGTTCATCAGCTTGGCGTTGAAAAAAATTGTTGCCTTTCTTTAATATAAATCCTTGTTACCCCTTTTCCTTGTTTAATGCGCTACCATTACATCATTTAACCCGTGAATAGTACACACGATATCGAGTCATTTGAACTAGTGATCACATCGATAAGGGACTAGGCGAGTATGATATTGGTTACTCCCCAGTGACGAATCAATGAAGGATGGTAATTAATCTCAGGTTACTGTTTTATTTATCCTCAGCTATTACAGGTTTAGAAATGCATTCGTTCTTTATCTTACAATAGCTTATCAGGGACTTGTATCGTTTCGATACCGCTATAGTCTAAGTAGATGAAAGTTCATTCATAGTTAACTGCTGATTCGTTAGTCCACTTTCCAGTCAATGGTTTTTCAATGTATTTCACTATTTCATAGTATATCCTGTAATTCATTTTTTCCTTTTAATAGTTCTATCAATTAGATATTGCTGTCATTAGTCAAAATTAGTCATGGGGATATTTTATTTTGATTATACACAAAGGATTTCGGTGTCATAAACACGAAGAACACAAAAAAACAATATTAATTTCAATTTAGGGGATACGCATCAAAGTTATTTTTGTACTGCCATCTTTTTTATTTGGAAAATATTGTAATTGAAATGTTGGACATAATTACTTACTAATCCTTTGTAGGTTCAATCCTCAAAAATCAAAAGCTCCGGAAGTTCATCTTCTGTCTCTTCTAATTCGTCCAGTACTTTGTTACAAGGTTCATTCGATTCCATCAATCTATCACAGTCTAGTAATTCCCAAACACATTTAACAGATCCACGTTCACTTCTGTTATATGATGAATGTAAAGAGCTTCATAATCGCTTACTTGCTTTAATTTCTAATAAAGAAGAATCTAAAACAACACATAGTGCTCATACTAGACGACGTTCCACTCAACAAAAACATGGAGAAGATATTAGTATCGGTAAACAAACTATTTCTGAAAAGCACGTTTCTGGAATACAGCGTTCACATGGAAGTATTGAAAGCCGTTTAGATTTGACAACCACTGAAGCTTTACAAATGGTGCAAATATTACTCCCACTCTTATTTGAAATATTCACTGAAACTACCAAGACACAAACACGTTTGTTGTGTTTAGAAGCGATACAGCGGTGAGTTGGCGTTTTGCACACTGACACTTGCATATTTAATTAATGATACATATGCACAGCAACCACTTTTAAGTCGAAGAAAAATTCACTTCATCATTGTTAGTATATTGCGCTTTATTCATGCAATAAGTGAATTCCTTAGGTTGTTTAATCGCTATCTTGATTTGACGATTTACTGTGACCGTTGTGGTAACCAAATTGACTTGTAGGTTTTCATTTTTATTGTTTCTGGATCGATGACACTAAGAGCAATTATTACCATGGTTCAAATTGGGTCATAGTAGTTAGAATTCAAGAATATAATCTTAACTGTCCCCAGCCATTCATATTGTATTTCTGGCTACCGGTATTCACAATTTTATTCCCATTGTTGTTTTCTTTTTTTAATACGTAGCTCTCTCCACCTTACCTTAACGTCCTACTTTACTTGTAATGAGGTTGTTGTTGGAGTAATGAACAAATATCTCCATTGTCTATTACTTCCAATAAAGATAAGTGTAAACAGCCATAAGCACGTATGTTCATCTAAGCGACTAAAGATATCTACCATTATTATATAACTAGACAAGGAATTGATTGCGCTGTCTAAAACACGTGTGTTCACTGTTAAAAATTTGCATTAAAAAAACCTTAAATGCCAGTAGATCTCTTAAACTTCTTCGACTAGTGAATTCTTGCAGAGGTATCTCAAGCGGTATACAAAAAAGGGAAACAACTGAAGACAATTTAATTTCACTCAATCATAGTGAAGTCATTAGTGTGTACCCAATTTCAAAATATGGGGAACACAGTGGTTCTTAGAAGTAGGCTTCAGCATATTTTAAACATTAAACCATCTATACTTTTAGTACGATAACTGAGTAAAGTTTATTTATATAATAAATGTTCTCAAATCAATATTATTGTATTACTTTCACCATTCATAATGAGTATAACTATTTTACTGTTCCGTAGAATGATATTTTATTCAAGTCCATTATTACTGGCCAAAGTAATTCATCCAAGATTAGTTTGCAGTCATATTGCGGGTATGCTCAATAGTCCTGAGAAACGTGTTATTCTGATGGCTTTGCAAATTTCTGTCATGTTACTTGGTCGAATCCCGTTTGTATTTGCTACACATTTTCGAAAAGAAGGTATTATTCATCGAGTTGAACATTAATTTTACGTCTAACCAATGGTAGTGCTTCAGGTATCACTTTACAAAATGATTTATTCTCAAGCAAATCTGTGCCCAAATTATCTTGTGTTGGTTCCAATACCGTAACATGCATATCAAGCAACAACTGTGCAAGTAATCAACATATAAATCACCAACCATTTCAACCTAATGATAACATCAAATCGAAACGTGAATCAGCCGTTACTCATGGACATTATGAAGAGGTGATTATGTATTTTTATTATCGATGATATATTGTTCGGTTGAATATAGGTCATGCTGAACTTGACATAATTGGAATGTAATTAGTTACTAACTTCTGATACTTTATTACACGAGTGGGGGGAAAAATTCATGAGCGAAATAAATGAGTCCTAATATTATACATCCTAAACTCTAACATTTTTAAATGTGTTTTATTATTGAATATTTGATTTGCTTGTCATATCCATAGTTTCTAATTCGAATAAAATTGCGTTCCGTGGAAGCGGATTTATTGATTTGTAGAATATGCTAGTGACTTATCATGAATCTTACAGCTTAATCAAAATATATATTGAAGATTACAGATCAAAAGTTATATTATTATATGCCATTGCTTCCATGTTTTCGATTGAAATTGTTTAGCCAACTTATAAATAAAACTAATAATCACTGCTTATACTTATGTTACTACAAGTTATACAACATGTATACCAAAATCATTTTGTTATGAATATTTTATTAGTGGTTAGGTAGTAGCTGCTAGCCTGTAGAATCTATAATACATAATTAGTTCTATTTGGGACTCAACTTAATGTACCTCCATTCCGGTTTTGATGTTCACACTAAAATTCAAACTTAGAAGCTTTCTCTTCAAACTCTAATACGATACTAAGTCCAAATAACCTGTCATTTTGTCTCTATTGTTTTTCGATCAAATCGATCCATACAGTTATATATAGGTCCTACCTTGTATACAACATTGGTTTCAAAGTGTTTACAGTTGCTCATCTTATTATTTTATCAAGTTAATCACGAAAGCTTTTTACTGTTAATTTGAAATTTCACAAACTGAACAATCAGAATGTCGGTATGTTTATTGAGATTGTATATTCCAGGGATATAATTCCCTTTCACTTTATGATCTATTTTTATCTCGGTCTTATTGCTGAATAAATTTCATCGTGTTGTGGATATATTTCCTAGTTTATTGTTTGATCACTTGTAGTGGATCATTATTTTCTTCACAAGTGAGTAAACTCAGTGTTGTTCATTTCGTTTTCTCATAACTAGACTCACGTGGGAAGCTACAGTACACAAAATTGTTCTGTTGTACTTGATATGCCTTTGTCATACAATTCGTTAGTTCAAAAAAGTTTGAATCCCAGTAACAATCAGCAGACAAAGCATCAAATAGAATTGCCTAATACAATGTCAAAGTCGCCTACACTTTTGTTAACTGAACGGTTAGTAATTATTGGTTTTGTTTCTACATTATTTGAATGTACTGATTCTTACATTACATATTTTAAAATTTTTCACTTTGTTATGAGAATCACTAGAAAACCAATACTTCTAATCGATAAATTCCCTTGATAATGCAATCTATTTTCGAACAAAAGGGTTAAATAGAATTCACTTATCGATTGTGTCTTAATAGAATAGTTAGAATAAGATTTCATAAAGTTATAAATTCTTATTAGCGTGGTTACATGCTATGTGCAGTTACACTCGACCTCAAAGTAAATCTCTGTATATCGATTCACTAACTGTACAAATACTATCGGTACTCTTCATATATTGGGAATGCCATTTAGAATTGATTAGTACTCTAACTGGGCGTTCAAATCAGTTTCTTAAACGCTTAGAATAACTCCAGTCTAAATTTACAGAGCAACTTGAACACGATAGAAAAAGTGCAAAGTATGGAATGTACGCTTTACTCCAAGGTTAGTTTATGTACAGAGAATCTAGGGTATTTATATTATTCCAGATGGTTTTGAGGTTCCGGAATTTTCTGGGGCCGTAATAAATATAGTACTGGGATTGGTTACTATCCGATCAGGAATGTGTCAAGTGATTCTTCGCTTTTTAAGTGTTCCTGAGACAGTTCTACTCAGTGCTGACTGGATAAAATCTTTCCCAGCGTTTTTAGAGCCAGTCTAACCTTTTTCAAGGAATACCTTGGAATCTCAACAAGAATGTCTACTTAAAAAGAAGAATATATTTGTAAAATCTCAGCGAATGAATTTTAAGTAAATCCGACGTTTCGTCTGGCAATCTGGTCCAAGCTTTTTCAAGGAAAATATAATCAAACAACAAAATTATCGATAGATATTCGATAATTTTGTTGTTTGATTATATTTTCCTTGAAAAAGCTTGGACCAGATTGCCAGACGAAACGTCGGATTTACTTAAAATTCATTCGCTGAGATTTTACAAATATATTCTTCTTTTTAATGTCTCAAATTAACTCGGCGCCCAAATATTGTGAAACTATTCGTTCAAATTTAGACGAAAGTTCTTATTTAAGAATATCTACTGTTTTCCATTTATTGAATTTACTAAAGTTGTTTAGCACTAGTCTATAGTTAGCAGTAAATGAATTGGCTGGCCTTTGTTGCTATATGCACTTCGCAATCAGATTTTAACTATATTTTAAAATATCACTATTTTGTTTTAATCTCTTTACTAGTTCGCTGCTTCATTTTTTAATAATCTAATACAATTCATGTCTTGTTTCACGTTTAGAGATCCTTTACTTCAGTCCATCTGTTCAATTTGTGAACACTTACGAGCACGTACACAGATTTTGTTAAAATCATTCGATTCACTCAATAATACTCCTACGATTGAATGTACTAATCCCAGTAATTATCATCATGAAGATAATAAAACTAGTCCATCGTCTCATCATCACGTTACAATTCATAATCTTATTGATTTAATGCCTATACTGAAATGTGTTGCTCATCAATTAAATTCCGATTCACCAAATCTATGGATAAGTGGTTTAAATCAATTAATTGATTTATTAAAACCGAATGAAAAAACGCTCGAGAGAATGATAGAACCACCATCACCGTTTGAACTACAAGAAAGCGGTGTAACAAATGCTTTGTTAAATTTCCTTACATTATCAAGTAATCGGGAAATTCGTTTATGGATAATGTTTAGAGTAAGTTGTTGTGTTGACATTGATTAAATCTGTTATTTTCTTTATTCTTTGTTGCTTTGTTGATTCTTTATTATGTTTTCGTTAAAATAAACAAATCTGAAAGTTTATTGAAACGATGATAATGATGAATCATTGTCTCAGTAATAAATTCATAAAAAGAATATTAGCTGGCATACTGTTTATTCACTATTCATATTATTAAAATGACTATTATTCGTAAAGTTGGTTTTTTATTTTCTTTGTTGTGTTTTATTTTGTTAAAGATATGTACTCTGTAATCAACATTTCGACTTCAAAACTTCTGACATGTTCAGATACTTTTTACTGATAGAATCTTATAAGTAATAAGACTTCAATCTGATGTTTCCATCAATTTACTCTGGCCATTGGTAATGATCAACCTTCGTAGTTTTGATTTATCCAGTTAATAATCTATTTTTACATTTATTAAATGAAATGGTACTTTCAACAAATTAAGACTGATAGAAAAATTTACAATATCAATATTTAAAGCATTTATTCCATTTAATAAATCTGGATAATGAAAAACAAGGATAATCGGAACTAAGGGATATATTAGCACCATATATCTCGAACAGTCTGATTACTCGTACTTGTTAAGAGATTTTTGTATGAAAAATAAAGAGCCAAGTAGACAAATTAGAAAGTAAAGGAAAATAAATGTATTAAAGAGAACAATGTGGAACACACCACTCTTGATAACAGATCAATATTATTAGGGTAGGTTCAGAGTGAGAACAAGCTGTTTTTGAGCATACAAAAGGGATAGATTTTCGTATAGCCAATACTTCGGTGAACCTTCGTATACTCCCTTGAGGATTCCTCTATAACACTACATAGGTAGATTTGGTATCGTTTGTATGGTCCGTCTCTGCTAAACGTTTAACAGCGAATGATGATGTTTATCTATCTTACGTTCTTATTCGACCATTGGGATTCATTTGCTTCCGTAACCAATTTATGGTGTGTTCAATCACCTTTGCAGAACACTATTGTTTCTCCCTATGTACATATGTTTGCACATTACATGTAAGTTGATAGATGCATTGGAATATGGTACAGCCGTTCATATGCTGTTTAAGTTTTTATTAAAACATATACCTTGACTTTTCGATTATGATGAGTTGAACTTCGCAAGGAGTCCCACTGATCGCTAATTTAAATTTTCGTTTCGACATAAGACTGTTCGAGTCATCTTTGAATGATAAGGTGTTATAGACACGTTTTTGGAGTGCCAAAAATGTAATAGGTCTCTATGAATAACCAGTCTTCATTAATGTCTCAGTTAGGAGCTTAACTTCCCCCTCATTAGTATCTCCAATGCAAATGCAACTAATCCTATTGAATAAATATCTTAACAAGTGCGGTGTGTGCTACTGATGTCAACAGATATAAGCAGTATGTATCACCAATCAAAAGTTAAATGCCTGGCGGCAGAAGGTTAAGAAGTTCGAAAGAAGAAAATGAGTATGATGATTGTTGTGGAAATGAAGGAACAATCAAGTCTGAGACAATTTAAAGTTAGCAAGTGAATTATTTACTGTATAGTCCTCAGATTTTACCAAGATATTCTGTAATGTTGTATTAGAATAAATTTGGTTGTCCCCACTTTTGTTCTCCTTCACTACACAAGTACCTTTTGTGTTCAGAATATATTGTGCTATTACATGGTCCCGATAATCTTCATATTCACGTTGCATTGTCCAAATTTATTACTAATTAATTTATTTTGTATTCTGAAATGAAAATCTTCTAACATCACAAAATATTTACATATTTGAGATTAGTTTGTATTGGTTTTGTGAATTGTACATTCTACGCTGAAAATAAACTTGATATTTTTTGTTCAATTTATATATTATGGAATCGATTCAAATATACATCTACAGTATAGTTTAATGCATATTAATAAATGAATTCAATACGATTATTATTATTATTATTATTATTATTATTATTATTATTATTATTATTATTATTATTATTATTATTATTATTATTATGAATAGTGACTGGATGACAGAATTTAAAGCATTAATAATTTACAACTCATTTAACAAGTACATATCTATCATACATGGCTACTCAAAGTGAGACACATAATACATGATTAAAACCTACGACCAAGTGGTTGAAAGTCAAATGCATCTATCACCAAGCTATCTCTTCACTTAGTCATTAAGTGGTAATAGCTTTCTAGTCAAGAGTTAATTAACTCCTTATATCTTGCCAGTTACAGTAACCATTAGTAATAATGTTCAATGTTTCAGACACTTGATGCCAAGTTTATTTTCATAAAGTCATTTTTTAATTCACAGCAAATATAGAAAAATATTGCTTACTGGTAGTACAGAAATAATTTATCAAATAAATACAGACTATTCAAATAGCATTAATTGTAACACATCAACTTTATGAATAATACTAACTAATTAAAACAAAGCGCTCTTTGAGACTTTTCTATATTCCACTCAGTATTAATCAGTTAATAAATGAAGTTTATTTGCCCGAATAAAATAATTATTCACCATCCATCTTTTATTAATTCATGCTTAGATGTTCCTTGGCCGGCGAGCTACCACACCTATTCGATTCAGTCCAACATTAAATTTAGAAAATATAAATGGACGTAAATGGAATGGTTATAAAAATTGGTTTAATTTTCTGTCAATTATACCAGATTTGTTTTTGTCCGATCATAGTAAATTAAGTCAGTTAAGCGTGATTGAATGTCATTTGAACTCAGAATTGAAGCATGACGATAACTCATCTCGTGGGATCGAAGCTTTCGGAGCCTTAATAGAATGCCTTTTGGCTTACTTACATAGACATGAACATTTTCAAGTTAATACTATTCCATCACTGCTACCTCCAGCTGATAAGTGGCTCTCAATGTTTGGAAGAGATCTCTTTAAAAATGTTAGTAATCCCGATATTATGGATGGTTTTGGAGTACATCATGACAATACTTTGTCATCACCCTCACCTTCTAGTAGTGCTCAAAAGTTATCGTCATCACGACAACATAATACTCCGAAAGCTGTCGGAGTTAACAATTCTGGTCGGTCATCTAATAAAGTTCCTACTCAAAGAGTGTGTAGTATGAAAACATCTGTAAAAGCATCCCATCCTCTTCCCATTAATTATAGCAATAATAGGGTAGATCCATCAAATTCCGGTTGGCATTCAGCAAGCACAGATTCGAAATTTGTAACTCATCATGCTTTTGGCCCATCCTCCCGATCTGTTCAAGTAACCGCTCCTACTCCAGGGATACTGCGTATTGAACTTCATCGTATATATGAAACAGATGGTACAATAAACGAAAGTAATTCATCAGTGAGTCATCCAACTAGTCCACCAATTACTGGGACAAACTCTAAGAGCGGTCGCAAATCTTCTTTATCCTCAACATCATCTGGGCATTCAGCAAATACTTCGCTCTCGTTAACAACTGAGACATGTTCCTCTTTACCACATTTTCTACCATTGCGTATTACTGCTCTGGCCACAATTCAGGTAAGTCTTTACAATTCCATAATACCATTAATTATCTGAACATATTTTTCTATTTTGTTATATTATTGTCATTATGTGTGTCTTCTTTGTTGTGTCAATTCAGGCAATCGACTGTCTGAACAAATATACTTACATAGTTACATACTTATAGAAATGTTTAAAAAATTTTCTATTAAAAGGAATACTTAGTATCAAGTCAATTATTGGAAATACTCGAATTCATTAATTTGTACTCTTACTTAATTATGTTAACTCAATTTGAATTTATATCATCAATTTTTTTTCTCTAGAATGTTGAGCGATTGCTCTTACAACGTAACTACGTGAACAGTGTTCTTCAAGAGAATGCTTTTTCGCAACAAGCTGATTATAATTTGACAGGTTTTCAAGAAACATTTATTGACCATATTGCAGATGATCTTTGTACTTCACCACAATCACAACTAGTCGATGAAGCGACAGATAATGACGATGAAGATATGGATTCTCATACTCATTCATTATTACGAGATTTGGAATCAGTCGAAGGACCCTTCAAACATCATGCAGATATTCAGCACTCAGACACATATATACGAACGGCTGTTGCTGTGAACACAAGTAATACAAAGTCTGTGACACCCGAACGTCGACAGAGAAATCTGTCCAGTCGAATTCCCAAACCATCTGTTTTACTTCCTAGCGAGTCATCAGGTATGACTTCTATTCATATACAACCAGCCGTCAGTAGAAGTCCAAGACATCTAAAATCAGACGTTTATGCTAAATACCTTTCACTGTTATCTCTTGTCTCTTCTGATAACCCTGCCCATGAACGCTCTACACTTAACCAACCAATCGTTACAAATCCCAATGTACATTTAACATCCCCAGTTTGTTGTACACAAACACCAATTTCATCGAAAACATCTGTTTCTACTTCTAGTTCACTTCAAAGAGGATTACGTAGCTTATTACAACGTAGTTCAGAAATTCTACCTTTGATGACTCGAAGTGGAATTGAAAAGCCAAATGTATCTAACTTGCACTCAGTTGAAAATCCTAATGCTTTTGTCAAGAAAACTGATTGTCGTAATGTCCGAAGGCGTTCTACTACTAACGTCTCGATTTCCGATATACTTAGTTCAACATCTACTTCACTGGCTGTTCCTGAACGAGTAATTACTCCGTTTTCGCACTTTTTACGTTCTGTTACAAACCCACTGGCATCAGATGATAATTCGAGTATCGATACTTCTGTAATCTCTAGTAGACGTAAATCCAAGAAAACGACTGTCCAAAAGGAATCTGATGTTAATATCGTTACCACAAACTCTGAAACTTCAGTGTATGTTTCTAGGCCTGTTTCTTCAGTTCCTACTCAACTTACAAGTAGATACAGGAGATTAAAAGGTGGATCTCTTTTTACAACTCTTGGCGTTCTAGCTAATAGTTCGTCTACTACAACAACTACAACATCAGTTCGTAAAGGACCAATTCGTCGAGGTCGAAGTGGTGGAATTTATAACTCCCATGTGCCTCAAACTCGCTCGTTTAAAAATGCTGTATCACCTTCGTTGTCGTCTACATCGAATGCTTCGTCGCCAATTGGAAGTGAAGATAGTTTTATCTATCATGGTAAATTACGACCTACAATTACATTCTATATCGGCGGTCACCGTTTGCCTTCAGACATTCCATTATATGAAGCAGTTCGTAAATTTAACCCGGAAATCTTATCTTATTCTTCTGCTGTTAATTCAGTACTAAATAGTTGTGGCTCTCACAATCAAACGCTTGATATTTCTGAGCAGTTATCTTTAACACAGACAGAGAAAGAAAATTTAGTGAGTCATTTTTAAAAATAATTAGTAATTGATATGTTATGTTACATACTTATATTTAATTAACGGGAAGGTCACTCAATCCATATGTTTGCATTTAGATCTTATATATTTTTGATAGATATACTGATGCTATTTTGCCTTTCTTGCTTAAGTATTTTGAGAGGTTTTACCTTCCTTTAGTAGATACTTAAAAGTTGTGTAACTGTTTTACTGTAGTAATTTTAGTTTTCAGTTAGCCATCATTATTATGCCTCAGATTTTATATTTTACTCTGTTTTTTTTAGATTGGTCATTTTATTTGGAGCCTTACTCATGTTATTCAGTATCGAGTCACTTATCATTCTTCATCTCACGATACTAGTGGTAAACATAATAATATCTCTTCTTCGTCATCACTTCCTGGTCATTCCTTATCTCCCTCTTCAGCTTCATTATCACCTAAAGATATCAGTGATTCCGGTGAAGCTAGTATAACACCATCATTTCCTACTACACTAAGCCTTAGTGCAGCAATAACGTGTTTTAAACACCGACGTCCAAGTGAAACTGACACTGATCATATAGACAGTCTTGAAAAGTGCCCAGCTCCAAGTTCAACTAATACAGTCATTGATTCATTATCCCCAGTACAAAAGCATATCCCTCCATATGGTCAAACATTTCAGTTGGCCCAAAATCCATTATTTGACTTCCTAGTTAATGATTTACCTGAAGGCTTCTTAACTGACATTCGATGTGATTGCGGCTCTTTGAATCGACAACCAAATTGTCTGTTGAATGCGGATATGGTGAATTTAAATTCTTCAAAAAACCCTTTATCAACAACCCTTTCTCTCTTGCGTGTATTGCATAACATCAATCGTTTATGGTATACAGTTCATAATGCTTTGGATCCTTTTCCAATTTATTCTTCAGTAAGTCTTTGCCAGTATTAACTTTATACAATCGTTCGCTAATTTTTTTTGTTTTTCTACAATTATCAGCTTGTATTAAATAATTAACTAGTTATTATTGATAAAAATTTCACAACACAAATTTTGTATTTTGTTAAAGTAGTGAAAACATAGACAATGAGAAACAAACGAATAGATCAAACAGATTTCATTTCGTTATGTTATATATATTTTGAACTATATTAACTGTCTTGAGTGAGATTTAAGATTTTTTATAAACTAGTGGAATGTTTAAGTCTGATCATTTTCCTGTATGTAGACTATTCATTATGATATATTTTAACTTATCGACAATAATCCATGCCTTGTTCACTTAAAGTAATGTTTATAATTTCAACTCCACACTAAACTCATATATCGAACTCGAACTTTCATCTTGTTTTTTTTTATTTCATACGACTTTTGTTTAATTGCATCGATGGTAAAATGAGTATATTTTTCTTGTTTTCGTTACATTCAATCGCTTCGTTCCACAGCTGTGTGCTAAGCAAAAGACAATGTTGCTTTGTCTATTCAACTTCTGATGAATATCTATGTATGTAGTTATAGTATCAGATGGTTTCTTGGAAGACATGATAAGTTTCTATTTTCCTAATGATGAGATTTTCAGTTAGTCAAAGAAATATACGTTACTAATTTAGGAAATGATAATTAATTTTTATTCAATTTAATTTTTTGTACCTTGCGAAATTGACAGTTTTCTCAAAAACGAAAGAAAATTGCTTTGTAATTCCATGCACTTTGTGTGTTCTAATTTTGTGAATGGTATCAAACCGTACTAATGATCTGTAAATCCGAGTACGTCGCTTTTACTGTGCTACTCTCAGTTGCACTGTGTAATTGTGTTCATTCAAAGTTTGGACAGTTAATGTTAAACGTTAAGTGCAATATGATTCAAAAATAATAAATTTATATATTTATACTCCACTTGTAGGATATCGAAAAGTTCTCTGCCTGTCATTCAGAACTTAATAACCCAAAATACTAATGTGTGAACTTCTCTCTCCATATATATTGCATACGATGCAATACAACAGAAATTCTTGTAATCACCTGACTTCAATGTCTTAAAACTATACTCTCCCGATTTTTTTAGAGCCTTATTTGCTTTTTTTTTAGAATATACAATGTATGCTGTTTGATTACTTTTTTCACTTATGATTGAATTAAATGAAAGACCAATTAAATGCTTATAAATCTACCTACATTAAATTTCATAAGAATTTAGAAGACACCGTGTTCCCTAACTCAACATTAAGGTTATACTACTGTCATTACATTCTTTACGTCTTCTAAATTACAGTCAGTTGGACTATAAATCTGTTACTCGACTTTTTATCAAAAGTGTTCTAGTTATGTACGGAATGGACTTATCAACTGTATTGCCTTTTTGTCATGTGTTTGACTTAAGTAATAACGTCAATTAGAAATTTTATCATTAAGGTCTTTGAAAATATAGAGATTTGCTTGGCCTATCAGTTACGTGGTAAATGCCTTGGTGGAAAACATCCACAAAGCCACCAACTTGTAAGCGGAAGTTGTTCAACTGTCCTGTTAAGACAAGCTGGGTTTTTTTTTCATTTAAACTGCTGTCTTTACTTGCATTATTAATAACTAAATACTGAAAGCGTTTCTCATGTTGACAGTTGAATATTAGACATGTAAGTGATCAGTGATAGTTGTGTAATTATAACTTACTCATTTTTATTTTGCATTATTGTACAGCAATCATTTCAGAGTCAAAAACTTGCTGTCAAAGCTAAACGTCAATTACAAGATGTTTTCAGTGTGTTGGCTGGCAATTTGCCCTCTTGGTTGATTCAATTGATATCAGTATGTCCGTTCTTGTTTCCTTTTGATATTCGAAGGACCTTCTTCTATGCTCATAATTTTGATCGTAATCGAGCTTTACTCAGATTTCAGGTAGAGTCAGTTGGATTATTTAATATATTCAGAAATTTATGTTTTATGATCTGGAAAAACTCCACATACACAACACTGTACTGTGTTGCGTTAAGTTTTCTGTTCTTTGTTGTATAAATTTCCACTTGTTTAAAAATTAAAAGCAACTGATAACAGTATTACTGTAAGCCATAATGATAATAATAATAATACGTACTACCTACCGCGAATAAATCCAAATTATCAATTCGATAAACTGCTAGGGAGATATGCTTTGGATTGGATCACTTTATGTTTTTTTCAAGATTACAGAATATTTGTACACAAAATGAGTGACTAATTCTAAATGGAATAAAAGAAATTGTTGTGGATCTGTGTAACTACACATTTTTTTAAGAATGATATTTAGAGAAAAACTTCAGGTTCAGGCTTGTTGGTCATAGCTAGATCTCATGGAAAAAAATTACTTGACATTACCGGTTTCCCTCCTGTTTACGAATTTTGAGCACATATTTTATATTTATCATGTAATCAGTAAGTGTTAGTGGGACTGTAGAATAATCACTAATAAGTCCATTTCACAGTAATTTGAAATGTGTCGTTACCATACCTAATACTATTCCTTTTTGAGTGTTATCCGTTGAACTTATAAGTCGTATACTGTATTATTTCGGAATTATTTCCATAGTGACAGAAAACAATGTATTCTTCAATCTGACCTTGATAATTGTTAATAAATAATTCTCATTGCCATTGAAGGTGTTCTGAAAAGTATGTAAGGTTACCTAATTTGTTACTAAGGTTTAAGCTAACATTCTCTTTTATTTTGATTAAATTGATTCATCTAATATCAGAGTTTCATTATTCTTGTAACTTTTTAATCAAAACTGTAAATCAATACTCTTTCTTTGTTTATATGTATCATTTGTTGTATTAGAATTATTGTTTGAAAAGACAATAGTAACAACATGAAGTTGTAATTAATTTTGTGTGTATATTTGACTGGAGTTAATAATTATTTTGTATCATCAACGAATTCAATACTATTGTTGATGCTGCCACATTGATGTGTCCAAATTGGTTTTAATTTTTTTCTCTTCCAACATGGAAATGATTGACATATACCGTCTGTTAAACTAATACGTCATTATTTGGTTATAGAGATTATTATATTTCATCGAAATCATGAATTGATCTAAGTTCGACCACCATTGGAAACCTGGGAGCATTCAGCAGCCATTTCCTCCTAGTATGGGAATCTTCAGCAATAAGCATCTAACAGTATTAATATCTAACCTTAATCACTCGATGGAATTGGACGACCATCTTCTATTTTCTTCGGTGGGTAACTGCCTCATACTTGACTCGGTTTAACTCCGTTGGTTACGGCTTCTTACCAGAACTCCAGAAATTTCTTCTGGAAGCTAGTCACTAGTGAGCACATAATAATTGTCAATGTGGGGCTGTGGATATAGTTGAATTTCATTGAAATTATGAACACCATGGGAACCTGAAAGCGCTGTTAGGACGAAACGATCGTTCAATGCTTCGTGGTTTTGGGTGATACTCTAATTTAGATCGGTTGATGAATTTAATAAAAACCATTCAGCTTGCTGTTTGCTGAATGTTCTACTATTCTAATTCATTCTTTTTTGTTTATTTACACCTTTAAGTAAGGTGGTAGTAGGTAGTGCTTTATGTTCATTTGCAATTTATATATTTTCTATCCGATTGTAAGTACTTATTTAACTGTACATTGTAGTAGTATTAGTATCAGTATTGAAGATAATACTTCAGTAGTAGCTGAGACATTATTCTGCATTGGTAGAGAATTACTGTAGTTAATTTCTGTGTTCATTTATATACCATTCCATCCAGCAAAGTTTTAAACGTTTTTTTTGTTTCATGTATCACCTTATATTAGAACATCGGCTATACCACTAATTACAAATTGTAATTTACTTTTGTTTATTATCTAGGATTTGGCAAGTTCTTACACTTCCGATATTGATCAAAATCGTGAACAAATAGATACAAGAAATCCTACACCACTGTTATCTCATGGTATTCATGATAATCAGCCTACATTTATTACTGGTTTACATAGTGGAGTAGGTGGTATGACTAACTTTGTCAATTCTGGTTCATCATCAAACTCTGCATCTCTGCTAGCTCAATTTAACGCATTCTCTCAGTCTTCATTTAACACACAACTATTTGACCACAGTTCTGGACTATCATCTGCGTCTTCTCAAGAACATAACAGACTAGATAATGGAAGAAATAATTTAGGAACACGTGGAAGATATCATTTACGCCTGGCCTTGTCACCAAACTTTCGCCGGCACAAAGTTACCGTTAATCGAGATGAAAAACGTCTACTGAAACAAGCTGAAATGACATTAAATGAAATGGGTGATTCACGTGCAGTATTAGAAATTGCTTTTGAGGGTGAAGTTGGATTTGGTCTTGGTCCAACACTAGAATTTTACACATTGATAAGTCGTTTGTTAATGAAGTCTAATTTAAATCTCTGGCATGGTTGTGAATCTACTTCAGATGGATATTTGATTGCTCCAGCGCCTGGACTTTATCCTCGTCCATTTTCAAGACAAACTAAATCTTCAGTTATACGAGAGGTATTTTGTCTATTTTAATATCAAGCAACTTATTGATAATTATAAAAATATTCAACTTATCTAGTCTTCGTATACTTCAAAACGAGTTTCGCTTATTCTTTTCACATTTTTTAAAATAAACTGTCTTGTTTATAGGTTTTTATAACGATTCTCTGTTGTTCTTACTTCTCTCTTTAGTAAAAAACAATAAATAACCTTCGTAGAGTCTATGTCTGTTACAACCAACAGTACCTCGTAGGGATGTTTATTTTAATGGAGTGGTGATTTATTGGTTAAAGCATTCAATTCTCAACCACTAGGTCGCAAGTTGGAGTCCCACCGCACTTTGGTTTAGTTAGCTAGGTAGTATTAATATCCCCCACATATAAATTGTGGCTCAAAGTCGAGTACTTTTTAATTCACCATGTTCACTTTCACTGTTTTTAGTCTGTTTCATCACATATTTACAGGCCTGTTATGAACATTGGTGTGAATTACTTTACAGACCACTGTGGACTAATATCTAAAAGATGTTGAGATCTATCATTGTTCGGATGTAAGAACTTGCATTCATTAACTATTGAGTGGACTTATTTAAAGATGTCATATCAAGCCCGATTAAGGTTGGTAAGACCGCTGGATATGAATAGAAAGTTGTACTGATAATTGTCACTGGAATGACATCCAAGTATTCATGACAATACTAGCTCACATGACTACTTTGAAACACCGAAACTAATTACGTTCAAGATCAAACTATGTTGTTTGCGTACTGCTCTCTATTCACTCATTCTCGTATTTGTTTGAATCAAGCTTAATAGTTTATACTTCTTTGAAACATTTTATGTGCCGTATTTTGTTGTAATATTTTAGGTATCTACTATGTTTTCTTATAATTTTTTATTAGGTTTGCGGAAAATTTAATTTTCTTGGTCGTTTATTAGCCAGAGCATTGTTAGATTGGCGACGATTAGATTTGCCTTTTTCACCAGCATTTTTCAAATGGTTCTTAGCACCTACAGCAAGTGATGCCGTCCGGAAAGGTCATATTTTACCAAGTGATATATCATTAATTGATCCAGACTTGGGTCGACACATAAGACAGTTAACAGAATTGGTTAATCGTCGTCAAACTTTATGCCATCAATTATCGAATTTAGATGCTTCAAATCTTCCATCATCTGTTTCATTGGGGGGAGTTTATCTAAACAATTCAATTAACATCAAAGGTGTACATCATCATCATACACAAAAGTTGGATTCAATTAAAGCTTCTTTAACCATGTTGGACAATGAAATTGATGATTTATGCTTAAATTTCACACTTCCAGGTTACGAGGTAGGAAGAAAGTTTTGTCAGTAATTTATTTCTTGTAAAATTAATTATAATTATTACTGAAATAAATTATTGTAGTCAGATAAATAAAAATTTGTTTAGGTGATAATTTGATTATCGCCATACATTAGAAGCGTGAATGCCGTATTCTATTTCAATCTGATTTTGATATTTGCGTCATTGAGATTTTGTTTTATATTCCATATTTCATTGACACTTCTCATTGTTTAAATCACTAGTTGTTTTTAGAAATTTGTATTTATAACTAATTCGGATCATACAAAGAAATATATCTTCTACTAAACGGAAACCATTTCTTTGGTACATTTCAACACAATTTCCTGTGTGTTATACATTTTAATGAAATAAATCATGTGATAAACGGTTTCATAATGTTTAAACTAGACACGGAAATCCATTTGCATCGGAACACGATAACCATCGTTATTCAGTAACTGAAGAAATCTTCCTTACTGAGTGTAATTTTCGATATTGTAACCAATCGAAAAATACTGCTAAACTGTGTCTCTTTATTTTAAAATGAAGATAGTTTTCCCCATTTCTTATAGGGTCAACAATTTATAAACAACAAAGAAACATGACTCAAATGTACATTGTTCTAATTTGTCATATTTCACATCACCACTATGAAAGTATTTATTATTTATTTGAACACAAATATTGGTACAAAGGGGCACCAAATACATATGCACCACATAATAACAATGAGAATGTGAAGACAGAGAATATAAAGTGCGTACAAAAAAAGGAGAACAATAACGAACAGAAACAAGTGTATGACAGTGAAATAATAATAATGAGAGAGGCAGTTCAGTTAGCAAAGGTACAACCACAATGAATTCTTCTAATCAAAGTAGTTACATCCATTTTTATGAATTGACAGCAGGATCACTGGCTCCTATTCTAAGCCATTTTTGATAACGTCTCAAGCTACTGTGTTGCACTATCTCTAGGACTCCAATCAGGGAATCGTGAAGGACCAACAAAAACCAGTCCTGTACAGCTTTCATATTGCAACACCATGTCATACACTGATCACCTCTCCACTTTTTCCAACCAGTCCCAGCGTTGGCAAATAATGCACTATGCCGAGTTCTCTGGGACGACATTCGTAGAATATTTCCAAGCCATCGAAGTCCATGTTTCAAGATGGTGACACCAATTAAGTCGTCTTCGTTGTGCCCGAACACACCATGTCGAACCTCTGCATTACTAACATGGTGTTGCCACTGGATGTCAGCGATCCTTCGGTGACAACGATGATCAAACACAGAGAGTCGTCTAATGTCCTCAACTCGGAGAAGTTAGGTTTCACAAGCATAGAGCAAAACTGCTCTCACCGACGCGTTGTAGATTCGACCTTTTACAACCAGAGTGACATCACGACGGCATTAAAGATGGCCCAGATTGGCACAGGCCGCTCTGTCTTTCACTAAACGTGAATTGATCTCATCACTCACGCAGCTACCCAGATGCACTAACCTCTCGACTATGAAAGTAGATTAACAAGCTGGAAATCAGAAACAAATTTATACTTGCCCCACTGCTATTCGTTTCAGTTATATGACGTAAAATCTTCAACCATGTAAATTACGATTATCTTATAAACTTGTGAGCCAGGAGGTTTTCATCATCTCTATATGAATAAAAGTTGGAAACAGTGTATACTACTAATCTAGTTTAATATATCGCCAGACGTGTCGTAGTCAATAGTAATTCTTTAGTTACTTCATTTCAGTATTCTTTATTAGCAGTTACAAAATTAGAAATTGAAGGGACGAGGGTAGAGATATTCTCACGTCATTTATTGGGTTTGTTTCTTCCTACTACTTGTTGTTAGTCCTTAAAATGTCACATGTGGCAAATTTCATAATATTTATAATTTACATGACTTTTCAGTGTACAAAGTAATGATTAACGATAAAATTATAGTCAAACTATTATACTACTTGTCTTTAGATTAATACAGCTTATTAGTTCCAGTCATTTAATTCTAACTAGATGATCACGGGAATATATCTTAATTAACCTAAAAGCATGTAAATAGCCTAAATACCTGAATTGTTTCTCAGTTAGTTCTCAATTAGTCCAATTAAAATGTATGCGACTGAACTAAGTTAGTAGTTAATCTAGAGCATCATACTTGACACAACACCTACATACTATTAATTTGTCAATACACGATGTTTCTGTGGTGTTTCAAACTATAAGAACGCAGTTATTCAATAACAGGTGGTGTTCAAAGATTTTCCAGCTAGTTAACTGAACCCTGCTCTGTAATCTACAACGAGTTATAAACCAGTGGCGATTATTATTTTTTCGCTATCCATCCATAATTTGTTACCGTTCGAGTGTTATACATTGTATCGCACTGTTTACATTTACAGAGATTCTATCGTAGGTGAATAAATGAGGGGGGGTTAGTCTTTGTTTTCGGAGACATTACTAATATCAAGACATTTGTTTCAAATTTTATTCTAAAGGTCAGTGAAAGTGATTTTTATTCATATCATATTTTTTGTCGATCAGTACCTACCCATAACCAATGTTATTTTCGTTATCTGTTATTCCTTTTCAAAGGTGGAGTTAATTAAAAATGGTGCACATACTAATGTTACAGGCTCTAATTTAAGCTGTTACCTTCGTTTAGTTGCTCATTGGTTAGTTATTGAAGGTGCAAGCCGTCAAATGGAAGCAGTTTTAAAAGGTTTCGACTCGGTTCTACCTAATATTCGTTCACGGTTAACTACATTATTTCAACCGGATGAAATGGAGAATTTATTCTGCGGTGAATCATCACCTAGATTTAATTCTTTATCAATTAATCAAATTGGTGAAATGAAATCTATGCAATTATTAGATAAAAATTATTCATCAACAGATGAAGAAGGTTGGGATGTACAAAGCTTAACTCAATCATGTTGTTGTGATCATGGCTATACTCCACAATCACGTGCTATTCGTCTTCTATTTGAAATTATGTCTGAGTTCACTCCAGAACAACGAAGATTATTTGTACAATTTGTGACTGGCAGTCCTCGTTTACCAGTTGGTGGTAAGTTTAATTCACTGGTCAGTTGATTTTATTAGAGGAAATTCATTTCTAGGTCGTATGAATTCATGACGTCATAGATTTTTACTAATTAACTGATTATAGCTTACCTATTCGGTTATAATGTTCGGATGAGGTTTATGCTTAAAATGTGTAGTTATGGTCATGTACATACGTTGACAACTACATATGCATGTACTAAACATTTTCCCACTTTTTTATGTGGCTACATTTAATTTTTATCAGTCGTGACTGCAAAATTAGACAACCAGTTGACAATTATGAATAGTCAATATAGAGGTTTGTGGAAATTATTATATTCTATTTAAATCACAAGCTGACCTATTTTCAACCTCTGATAGGTCTTCGTCTAGCCTAAAGTTACCTTATGTACTGGAGGACTGTGAACTTTTCTGAAAGAGAAAACAATAGAGTAACTGAGCCCACAATTCAGTAAGCACATGGAATGCACTTACACTTGATGATCAAATCAATCGACAACCATCAGACATAACACAAAAGTGAGATTAAGACAATCTAATAATCGAAACTAGAATCTGATAGCGTATGGTTTCGAATGCGTTACACATCCACTGAAAACCTGGAAGAAACGGACAGTTGTTTTGTCCTAATACGGAACTCCTCACCAATAAAACATACATGGCCTCACCACGAGGATCTTCGGTCAAGCACATGAACTTTTAACCTCTTGTCCACTGAACCAGAATATTTCTTTAAAATTTACTCTCTTATTTTTGTTATTATCGATTATGAATAATAATTATCGATAAGCACATTAACAAACACTTGAGCAGAATATCATGAGTTCATTTTATTTCATTTGGTTCTTGTCATCTGCTTACAACTTGTGATATATAAAAATCACAATTACAAAATGGGTTTACATTACTTACACGAAAGAGTTAAGTTGGAAGTTGTTATGATCACACATCAGTTTAGTATAGAAAAGGTGTACATAAATTTAATAAACTGAATAAAATATTGTAAATATATACCACCTTACGTGAAAGAATATTCTATAACATTGGTAGTAACAAAAGTCCAAAGGGGTAGAAACAAGTTGTTACGTATTGAGTAAACACTGATAATAAGTAATAATGAGTAAAGCTCTGTAAATAAAAACAAGATTGGTAATCTAAGAAATAATTGAAATAGAAAGACGTAATGATGTGATTAATTGAAAGAATGAGTTGAACAAAGTTTTATGATGCAACAAAGGAATCATTTTCACCAAGGCGAAGAATTCTATAATAAAATAATGCATTTTTCACATCTTAATGAGTACAACTACAAAGAGAAGCAAGTGGCTGAAAGCTTCCTACACATTGCCGAATTCTACTTCCTTCAATGGAAAAGAAGTCGTTACTTTGGATCCAACTTGGACCATCTTTTATCTGAGTTATTATACCTTATCTTATTCACATGTCACATATATAAATTCACCTCTACCTTTTTACATTACAAATATTACATTTTTCGCACCCATTAACAAACACACAAATACATCATCATGTTTCATATTAGTCACCTTGACCGAAGTGACGTGACATTGATCTTGGTCAAATCTGTTTCTGATTAATTATACCAAATATTTTTGCTTTGTTTCATTGTACTATTTAATATTGTGTTAATTTAATTTGTTTATTTATTCTCCGATGAAGTGGCTTACACATTGAGTTACAAAACATTAGAAAAATTTTATGTTTCTACTCATTAGATATTACCAACATATTATTCTTATTAATGATCATCTATACAATGCTCAAATTATTTAGAATTATTGATAATATTAATTTTTTCCTTTCTCTTCCTCTCTCTCTCTATTTTTCTCTCACAGGTTTTCGTGCATTAAAACCTCCATTGAAAATTGTAATGAAACGAGAAACAGGTGAAAATGCTGATCATCATTTACCTTCTGTTATGACATGTCAAAATTATTTAAAACTTCCAGATTATTCATCTAAAGCATTAATGCTTTCCAAATTATTATATGCAATCAATGAAGGTCAAAATGCCTTTCATCTTTCATAATTGTTTATGCATATATATATATATATATATATAATTGTATACGAATAACAAGGATTAGATATCATCATTAAAAAAAACTACTATTGTTATTATTATTAATAATAATACTGTTTGTTTGTTTGTTTTCAATAACATATTGTCTAAAACTTGTACTATTGTTATTGTAAAGTTGTGTTTTTTTATTGTAACTTTTATAATCCAACTGTATCACAATAAATAGACACTTGTACACACAGTTAAAATACACTTATTTCCCTTATACTACTTAAATTCTATTGCTAAAAGTCTACTTTCAATCAATTATCATTTATGACAAGAATCAATAATTTCTACTGTGATTTTTGTTAAGTGTTACTCTTTGTTTCCTCACCATCACCACCACCACCTCGATAGGTATACTTGCACATGTAATCGGTTTATGATACATAATACATGTATACTATATGTATATCTTTTCTGTCTAGCATATTATTTATATTTATCATATACAAAACGTTTCGATTCAACAAATCAGATGAAACTAAACAACTAACTTGATCTTTTTTTTCATTTGAATTAATTTTTGTTAAGAAAAAATTTCATTCATTCATTCTGTTACATTTCAATTTGTCTTTTCTTTCGTTTATTTACTGATTATTTTGTTTGTTTGTTTTCATTTCTACGTTTGGACCGTTTAAAAATCCTACAATTTATGTTGTATTTTCTTTTGTATACATTTTTTTTTCTTGAGTAGTTATTAGAATTAGAACAGTAGTAGTTGTGTATGCAAATAATAATAATAATAAATTTAGTGATATATACATTTCATTCTTTTCATTGTTTACTTTTCAATTTGTTCATCATATCAAATTGTTTCGTTATATCTAAATTGTAAAATTTTAGTTTGATCATCTTTTTTTTGATAATTTTTTTTTTGAAAATAAAAGATAAATGAGGTTCATTTTAATTCATAAATGAAAAACCTTAATCAGTCTTGTGTGCTTATATGTGTAGTGACATATTTCCAATGGAGTTTATCACATAATATATACATATGATACAATTTTATATGTACACAGTGCATTTTCCCATTGATCATATGTTACTAGTGTAATGTGATGGATCATTTGATGGAATACCTATCCATTTTTAGTAAATATATATTTATGCTTTTGCATATATTTGTCGCCGTTATTATTATCGCTAGTATTTTGCTTACCCTTCTTTGTTCTTTCATAGAATAAAAAGAAACACTTTATGTTTCACTGAAGGCATGCTTTCATTTTCACTGTTAAAATCAATATTGTCACTTCATGTTACCTTTAGTGTTTCATTTTCTACCATGTTTACATTTTGTTCTCCGTAACCGTTGACTTTTATTTAAAGTAAATAAATTATAAGGACACATTAATAAGGGTTAACGTATCCTCTTTTTCTTTTATGGTATATAATAGCCAGTAAGATGGGTACTAATAACAATTCTTTGTAATTATCTATAACTAAACTGATTGTTTAATAATAATGCATTTTCTTCACGACCCAACGTCAGTGAAATATGCGTTTGTGTGTTTATTATTATTTTTTGATGAATATATTTATTTGTTTTAAATTTGTGTATAGTAACTATTGTGATGTCTGGTTTAATTGTCAATTTCAATTTGGCCTGTCTACGTGAACTTGTATAGTATTGATACAACAGTTTGTAGTGAACACTGGTTGCTACATCACCTTACATCTGTCTGAACCCAACTAACATTGAAAGATATTATCCGATTTGTGACTATGAAGAATTATTAGTTAGCATAAATATAATTCAAAATACATCTTTAATCTATTTCACATTACAATAAACTAATAATCGAACTATGTAAATTCATTAGTTTAATAACTGAATAAACTGTTGATAGATATTTTGTTCAAACCATACAATATAATAGATCACAATTTGTAGCAAGCAAGTCTTTACTTCAGTGACCAACAGTTTGGCATTATGGTTAAAACACTTTCTATCGCCGATGTAATTATATGTTATGCCAGTACTCAAAACTATACTGGTTTTACTAGCATTATTTGTAGTTGATATTAATTTCTTTTGTACAAAAGATTAATCTTGTATCATCGTTTACTCAAAAGATAATAGTTTGTCGTATGTTAATACCTTAGTTTGTTGCAGTGTAATTTATGCAACTAATAATTATAAATTATGTTCTATAGTGTTAAGTGTTCATAAAAAGCTGGAAGGAAGCCATGAACTCAGGTTTTGCGCTAGCTACTACTCGTCGGAGAAGTTTATCTGTAGTATTCAAGGCACTGAACCTCACCATGGGATTTAAAGGACAGTTTAATCAATAGGACCCAATCATCGTAATGTAATATGTACAAGCGTAACATTGGTTACTACTTAGTGATTGATTAACAGGTCTGTGTTGCATGGTGTTTGACTTATCTAATAGTTTGCCTTTAGTTACTTAATTAATTTCAACAAGAATAGAGTAATTTGTTTTTGCTTTTATATACCTAAACAAGTCAATTGTAAATAAATAGATCTAGTATATGTCATTTATCGATATTCTGTCATCTTACACCATTTTCAAAACATCCAATTACTTTTGATAGAGCCGGACAATTCTAGACAGCTTTAATGGAGACTAATAAAAAAAATAGTCCTTCAAACAACGCCTAATCATTAGGCCTGTGTTCATCGTTGTTATGATCTGGCTCTAGTTAAGCAAACTAAAACATTAACTAATGAGTTAATTCAACACACTATTCCCAGCCGAACTTGTACTGTACTACCGACAACCACTTAGCGAAGTATATTAGATTTCTCAGAATCCTTATGGAATTATATTGTAGCTAGCATTTGAACTATATATCACAGAAATTATATCAAACTTATGACAAATTCTTTTAACATGAAACAGTAAAATAAAAATCCATAATTGGTCACAGACAAAAACCAAATGAAACTTTGGAGAAATCATTTAAAGTCTATTTTCGTAGATACCATTAGGTTGTAATGTTTTCTATAATCGACTGTGTTTGCTCTATGATGAGAATGTCATTGGTGAAATTTAAATGATCACTCATATTTATTCACTATATAAAAATGTGAAACACTCCAAAACTGCCAATCTAATTTTAAAATGAGTGGATTAAGGTTTGAGTTTCAACTTGAATCCACTATTAGTATCACGTGGCTAACTAAACAAAGTATGTGGAGGTGATTCGAATCTAGAACAAAATAATCCAAATTCACACTGATACAATGTAAATATATCTGGGGTAAACGTTTGTTTATGTTGCTTATGACTGATTACCTTACTGTAATGAACTGTATCAACATTAAACGTTAAATTATCTGATAGAGCATTAAAGTCGACTTTTCTAATGATATTCTCTTAAAAAAAATACCAATTAACATATAAATATACGTGGTAATAAAGATTTTAATTGTTTCTTTTAGATTACTGAATTTTACCATGTGATCATTTACCATCATTAATATGTTTATGAGAGTAAACGAATGTTCTATTTGTCATAATACTCTGCACATCTTAATCTCATGGCAAATACAAAAAAAGAACAAGATTTTCATAATGACATGAACTCATAATGTCTTATCACCTGTAAACGGCCCAAATTTACATCAGTAATATTATTATAAGAAATATTTATTACATAACATAATCAATGAAGTTTAGATCGAAACGACACAAAAAAAGAACAAGAAGAGGAAACAATATATTTAACATGGTGATTAAAATTGATCAGTATTCATACTTTGAAGATGAAATCATTAAAAAGGAGAGAAGGTTGAAGTAAATGATAATAAGGAAACAATTAATAAAAATAATGATAATCAATGAGCATCGTTGACACAAAATCTGGATTTTTTTAGTTATGTATTATCACCCACTAAGGAAAATTTATTCACACCTTTTACTTTGCTGTCCTCAAACCTGTAGTGTTATTTTTTATCCCGGTTTGATCGTAGAAAAATGCTGTGTACATAAATCTCCCACTAAACTCCATATATTACCTAGGCGGTAATAAAAAGCCAAATACGGGTTGCATTGGAGGGATTTGTTTCAAGCATTAGCTTATCCAAACACATTCAGCACAAGAAGCGGAGCAGAGAAGTCGAGTGAGCCAACACGAGTTGATCAAGCGTGACGCGATATTTATAGTCAGACTAAGATAAGTAACAGACACGTAATGAATAGGGTAAGCAATTAGCACATATACGCTAATATAAAAGCAGTCAAGGTTAATAAGCGAATAAGTGACAATATTAAAATGTGATATGAAAAGAATGAATGAATAGGTCTATCTGGAAGCAAAAATAACCCATGTGGGCTTGAAATAGGACTAGACATAACACTATAATATCGATAGTTCTAAAAACGCTTACTGGTTATTATTGTTCTAATATTAATATAAAACCTAATAATTTATGTGATAACGAACATTTTGATAGTAATGAGCTCTAGTAGTCACGCTACTACTAATTCAGATTCATGCTGTTCCAATAACGTTCTCGTCGCTGGATGGGCTCAATAGCACAGTAAGGAAATTCGAGTGGACAACATTTCCCCGCTTCTGGTTCCCAGTTCCATCGGAGTCGGAAACCATACTTTAAGCTTGCATACTGAAGAATTGCTCGTAAAGCTCCGAGAACAAATCGAAATCTCTCCCAAAGAAGGATGTAAGTGTAGTAATTTTATAAGACTGTTTCACATAATGCTCCGTCAAAATGCAGCTATTCATCATTTATATTTTCCAAAAAGACGGCAGGATATCGGGTCTTAATTTCTCGAGACGTGCGCTGCAACCATGTATCTAATGCACTGACTTATCACAATAGTTCATAGTGTGGAAGCCAACGGGATCGGAGTTCTGATTCTTCATGTCTCTACTAATTTCAGGCACTGCTGCAATTAACATGGTGCATTTGTATACTCCTCATTTTGGAAACATCTGTATCGACAGGATGTGTTCAATTTTAGGCATAAAACCCT